AATGTGCGTTCCGCTGCCGCAAATAGAGCTAGTTTGGATTATATTTTGGCAGAACAAAATATTAGTATTGGGCTGTTGTCCGAAACTTGGTTCAAAAAGGACCGCAAAGAATTTTTTAAAAATTATAACATAGTGAGGCACGATCGCGATGATGGTTATGGGGGTGCAGCAATCCTTATACACAAAAGGTTGAACTACGTAACCTTAAATATAGCCTCTTCAAATTCAAATATTAATGTTTGCGCTATTTATTTGAATGAAACGAAGATAAACATTGTATCTATTTATAAACCTCCTCTAGTAAACGTCACAGAACAAGAATATTTACAAATCTTAGGGCAGGTAGGAAATTCATACATTGTGGGGGGTGATTTTAATGCACACAATGTTGCTTTTGGGTCTTCTATTAATAATAATGGCGGGGATGTTTTATTAAAAGTTATAGATTTAGCAAATAATATTTTTCTGAATAATGGTGACCCGACACGCATATCTCCCCCAAATTCGATAAAATCAGCAGTTGATATTTCCTTTTGTACAGCTAACCTTGCTACCTTAATCGACTGGCAGGTCCTAAAGGACTCTTACGGCTCGGATCATTTTCCGATTTTGATGTCTATGGTAATTCAAAATCAATCGCCATTTTTAAACTACCCGAAAACTAGATGGAATATAAATGCGTCAAAATTATTAGATTTCAAAACATGCGTAGAAATGGATTTTGCTGATGCTCCAAATTTTCTATCGGCATCGGAAAAAATAAAATTCTTAACTGAATCAATCCAAGTAGCTGGTGATAAAGTTTTTAAAAAAAAAAAACCTTTCCTGAGAAGGAGAGATCCTCCGCCCCCATGGTGGGACGACGAGTGTTCACGCATCATACATTTACGTCGACTAGCTCTTAAAGAATACAAATTAAGTCCTACCTTTGACAATTTTATTCACTGCCAGGAAACATTAGCACACTCTAAAAGATTTTTAAAATACAAAAAACGCAAAGGCTTCACAAAAATGTGCTCCAATTTAAATAGATCAACCCCATCGTCTAAAATATGGAATACAATTAGAAAATTTAAGAGATGTACAATTACCAACTATACCAAGGATGAAGGGTGGATTGAACAGTTCGTGGACGGGTTAGCCCCACCATATGTCCCTATGGAGAATGAACAAATTCCGACTACCACGAGTCGTCATTTTTTGCAAAAACCCTTTTTAATTAAAGAATTGTCCAATGCTAATATAGCCTCTAAAAACACTTCCCCTGGATTTGATAACGTTTCATACCAATTAATAGACAATTTACCCCACGCAGCGAAGGGTTTCCTTTTGTCAGCTTTCAACGACATGTGGGTAAACGGCGAGAGTGTCCCCACCTTTAAAACTATCATAGTTGTTCCTATTTTGAAACACGGTAAAAATCCGGAGGACGCGAAGTCCTATCGTCCCATTTCTTTACTGTCATGCATATTTAAAATGTTTGAACGTATGGTCAAAAATAGAATAGAATGGTGGTTAGACACAAATAATAAGCATAATCCTTGTCAATTCGGTTTTAAACGAGGATATGGGACGAGCGATGCCTTGACAAAGTTCGTCTCAGAGGTACAAATCAGTTTGGGAAAAAAGGAAACTTTAGGAGCAGTTTTTATTGATTTTAAAGACGCCTACGGCTGTGTAAAACTCCATATTTTGAGACAAAATCTATGTGATCTAGGCTTTCCGCCAGTGGTAGCCAGTAACCTCATTAACCTTTACACAGATCGAAAACTTTTTATTAGGACGTGGATGGGCAAGCTTATTGGGCCAAGAATGGTATATGAGGGCCTCCCTCAAGGATCAATAAATAGCCCCTTATTATTTAACATTTACACATTAGATATGTTCCAAATATTTGAGGATGACATCAAGGTTGTACAGTATGCTGATGATTTTGTTATTTATTCATCCCACAAAAATGAGAACATTGTTAAAGAAAAGTTGGAAAAAGCAATCAAAGAAATTAAGAATTGGATGCTAAATACTGGGTTAATTCTGTGCCCGGAAAAGTCGTCGGTAGTATTCTTCTCCAGTAAACGTACCTATAACTCAGGAAACATACTTTTAGATGATTCTCAGTTCAAAGTTGTCAAAAATGTTAAATATTTGGGGCTCATTTTAAATTACAACCTTAACTGGTCAAGTCATATTAGCGATTTAATAAGCAAATGTGAGAAATCTTTAAACATCTTACGCCTAATGACAAGAGTTGGTTGGGGGTTGGACATATCCGTGGCTTTAAAAATATACAAAGGTCTCACAAGAAGCTTAATTGACTATGGGTTGCACCTTTACGGCTCCGCTTGCAGCACGCAAATAAAACGTATCTCCGTTATCCAGAACAAAGCTCTTAGACAATGTATCGGGGCCATGAAATCTACTCCAGTGGAAGCCCTATACGTCGAAGCTCAGGAACCTCCGATATCCCTTCGCATAAAATTCTTAGCAGCCAAATATATAACAAAAATAATAGCTTTAAACTTGGAAGACCTAGGGCGCACTTTAACCAATCTGGCAATTGAGGACAACATATCACCCTATTGGATGAAAAAGAAATCACCGCCTTTGTCAGAAGCTTATGTTTGGGTGTCCGACCTGGAAGTTCCCCTGTTATTACAAAATAGACCTAATGTGTCCTTTCTGCAATATGAAACAACAGTATTGCCAACATTCTTTCCCAACTACATAGGCCACCCAGTCTATGACAAGCAGCTCTTTAATAGCATATTGGAGGATTAAAAAACCTGGGATGTAATTTTCACCGACGGGTCTAAGAATGAACTTGGAGTTGGTTGTGCCTTTTACGATCTTCGAACGAAATTTTCCCGTCAATATAAATTAAATGAGATATCTACTATCTTCACGGCTGAAGCAACAGCTGTATTACAGGCTGTGAAGTTTTTTGGTAGTAGGAATTCTTTTAAAAACCTTGCTATCATGACTGATAGTCAGAGCGTCCTCAAAAGTCTCAATACGCGGAAACATTACTACCTAGAGAATCCTTTGGTGACAGCAATAATAGCAGAAGCGTGCAAAATTAAGGAGAGGGGTTCTGAGGTGGTTTTTTATTGGGCGAAAGCACACGTTGGCTTGAAACACAATGAAATAACAGATAACTTGGCAAAATTAGCAGTTGTTAGTGGAGAGGTTATAACTCAGAATATACCGAGGTCAGATTTTGTGGGTTTTGTCAAGTCACATATTACGAACAAGTGGGACATACACTGGAAACAGTACTATAGCAATCAGATGACTCATTATGCAAGAATTCACCCAACTGTTAAGTTTAGCCCTTGGTACGCAAATAATTTCGTATGTAGAAGATACTATACGGCCATAGCACGACTTAAGTTTGGTCATGGAAGATACCCTTCCCATCTATTTAAAATTGGTGTTTTGGAGTCTCCCGCCTGTTCATGTGGTTTTGAAAGCGCTGACCTTAATCATATTTTTTTCGGGTGCAGTAAAACTGAACAATCTTCCAATCGAATGATGTCACAACTAATCAATTGTAAAATTAGTCGGCCCATTAATATAACTTCACTGCTAGCCAGTAATGACAAGAAAATTTATGATCATCTCATTGAATTTCTTAATAATATTAAATTAAATATATAAATAGGTTACAATAACTAATAAAATGCCTTTGTCTTTTATCCTTTGTTTGCCCTCCCATGTATCCAGGGTCTAAGTCATGTGTGTCATAACTAAATGCCATGATGGACCTCTTGGCAAGAAGCGTGTGTCCCGGTATATCCTTTTAGTTAGCTAAAAAAGGTACAAACGTAGCTATATGGGCAACGATCCCTTAAATAGCTAAAATAAAAAAAAAAAAAAAAAAAAAAAAAAAAAAAAAAAAACTTCCAAAGGCGACTCGACAGCAGCTTATTTTTGATCGCCCGTTACCAAGTATCAAGGACATGTGTACCAAACTTCTCTCGTCGGAAAAATGTAATGGTTAGAATTAGAATGATATATTCAAAAGTATGAACCGGGATTTTATGTCCTTTAACTCCATCTGATAATAAGTTTTGCATGGAAACAAACGTATTCACATCAAACACTAAGTATATAATCTACCAAAACATTAAAATTACCAATAAAGATGCAATATGTGCGGAACACTAGCAATAAGCAACTTTCTTTGCCCTTTCATGCAAATTTGCAATCAAATCAACTCCTAACCCTCCCAGAGAAAACTGCATGTAATTTTGAACGAAATTCCTCGTTTACTCTATCAACTGAAATTGTCAATATATTTTTAAAGGGAAATGATGCCAGGACCGATGACGTTAGCGCCAATGGGATACCACCACTACAGCTATCCACCACCGTTTCCCGTAATGAGAAAGCAATCGATGGCCGAACGACAAATTACCTGGCGGCAGTTGGGAGCGTAAGTAATTTTCGTTGAGCGAGATTAACTTCCGCCTTTTAAACTCGACTATACTTCAAAAAAGAGTAGTACGTACTTATTTTCACCCCATATGAGTTTATTGACTTTTGCTGTCGCACATCCCGACACTTCCTGAAGGGAGTTTAGAAAAATATCTGGACATGGATCTTTTATTACGGAATATAAATAACGTTCTTAGGGGATCGTGGAGATATTTTATTTGATTGTCCACGCGCGGTACGTTTATTGATGTCCATTAAGATATTCAATGTTAGGGGCGAAGGAAAATGCTTTTATCGCGGCTTGTTGCTTGTAAAAAATATCCCTTACGCAGCCTGCGTGTTTACTACGAGTATTTTCTCAAATTGCACATCGATTTATCTGATCGCTTTCAATTTTAGAGACGCGTTGGCCACTACGCTATCGGCGCTTTATGGGAAACTCTTGGTCGTCATGGGTACCGCTTTTCCAATGGCCGAAGTTATATCAACTTACATACCGCCGTCATTTTACGAGGTGTATTATTTGTACCTTTACATTGGGAGTATGTTTTTCCTCCTCTACATGTATACAATGCTTCTTAAAGATAAACGGCAGCGGAAAAAAGAAGAGGAGGCGCAGAGAAGTAAGTATGGAATCGGGTTGCCGCTTTCTGTATCTTTTATTTGCAGAAGACAGCCAAAGTGACAAAGAGGAGAGTATATCCAACTCGGGAGAGGAGTCGGATCGAGACTCGGGGGAAACGACACCCGAAACTACAAGTTCCCAAATTTATCGATCTGCGAGGCGCGGGTCGATCTCCTCCTCAATACCGAAGCAGTATCACTACGGAAGCTTCTACCTGCGAATGGGAGCAGTCGGTAATTATTAGCCCAACTAACAACCACAGACTTACAGAATCTTCCTAGCTTTTGGTATTGGTAGCATGATCTACTCCGGGTTGGAATTTGGGCAATATTTTGAACTGGAAACGAACACTAAGTGCCACAACGTATTACTAGCATTAACGCCTGCGCTGCGTATGGCCTTCATTTTTATACAAATGTATTTCATCTTCTTAAACAACGAGGTAAGCGCCGAGTTGTTACGTTCCTCGAATTAAAACGCACGGTTTCAGCAAATGAAGATTTACAAGCATAAGTTGGCAGCAAGGTTTGGCCTAATGCATATGATTGGTACCAATCTCTCCGTCTGGCTCAATGTGCTGGTACAAGAAACGAAGCACGAAATTCTAACGTTTTACAATCCCGAAAACAACTCGCTACGCATTTCTCATCGTTTAACGTACAAGAGTAACATTTTGAATTTTCCCAATACGGATTTGGCAGAAGAAACGCACACCCATCATATAGTTGCGCGCGGACTGAAGGGTCCGCATCGGATTTACGAATGTCGGCGCACAAATGTTTTGGGAACCCTAGTGCAGGACGCCTCGCCGTTTCTATTTCCTTGCACCATTGAGTACAGTCTAATTTGCGCCGCAATCCTGTACGTCATGTGGAAAAGTATATGTAAACTTCCGCCCGCAAATTCCCTCCCGGGCAAGATGAAACCGGAGTTCGCCTTCCGGAAAAGCCCCCACCACTATTCCGTCGACTGCGCGCGTGCGCACAAGGGACTATTTTTGGGCATTCTCCTTTTGGTACTAACAATAATCTCACTGATCCTCTTCTTCGTTCTCATCTCGAGATCCGAGCTCTCCGGCTTGGCGGTTATCGAAGTCAATATATGCGAGCTAACTCTGTACGGAATGACCACGCTGGCCACTATCGTCGGAATGTGGCAAATCCGCCAGTTGAAGTTCGACGGATCTCGAAATATACAGCTCGATAATATACTGCTGATAGGGGCGCAGACGGGGATGTACATATACAGTATGTTTACAATAATCGGAGGTCAGTTTACGATCGAGAAGAACACAATTTTGGTTTTGATAACGGCGCTCGCGTCGCTCTTGCAGACGACTTTTCAGACCATCTTCGTGCTAGACGCGTCCAGACGCTCGTGCGTCACGCCTGATCAGATCAAACGAAAACCCGGGCGGGAAATTGTTACGTTTTTATTGGTTACAAATTTAGCGATGTGGTTAATTAATACGTTAGAGAAATCGCGTGCGGATTCGCACCCGATTCAGTTACATTTCTACGGATTATGGGCGTGGACAATTATTACGCACGTATCAATGCCGTTGGCAATTTTCTATCGTTTCCATTCGACCGTATGCTTGTGCGAAATTTGGAAACGAGCGTACAAAATTAAGCCTACCTACATGTGAAATTTGGGAACCTCTTTGAGTTTTCATGTTATAGACATTGATAGGGTACCTTTTCATTAAGCCCTTTGACGACTAGTTTATTTGATTTCATCTAAACTTTATCAGGAGCTTATCCAGAAACGAAGTAGCGTGCGTATCTCAACTTGCTTCCAACTCTACAAGCTTCCAGTTGTCTATACAGACTTCTTGAGTTCCACTCTACTGTATTACATATACCATGTACTGAAGTATATCTGCATTACATTATCATTTAAAAGGCAGTTTGAAATTGTGCGCCTAATTGGCGACATACAATTAAAATGAATGTAGAAGAATGTAAGACAAGCGTTGCTGAAAAAGCACCTCCTTGTGAATAATTTTATCTGGTACAATTGTCAACCGGTCTCAAAAACCATTCAATGTTCACAAAGCTATAATAAGAACATAATATTTTATTACGCTATTGAAAACAACGTGCAATACTTCATTAACGTGAAAGATGGATGAGGTGAATTAATATGGTCGGCGAAATTGAAACGAAGGAACGGCGATGGTCTTCCGCAAATAAAAATCGAAGTACAAAAGGCGTTATGTAAAAAAAAAAGAAAACGCACACCGACTGAATTTATAGTATAGTGTTAGTTAAATGCTTTCAAAAGAATGGAGGAGTCAATGAAAACGCACGTGACGTTTTTATTTTACTTGAAATAAATGCAATTAGCGTATTGTCGAGATTTGCGGCTTCCTACAATAAACGTGACGAGCATCGAGTAGCGCTTTTATAACGGCGTTTTCTTTATCGCTCCTCCATTATTTTGTCACACTGTTCTGTTATATCTATCTACTAGTAGTAAACAAAAATGCTCATGTATGTACCTAAAAAGTGAACATCCAAAGAAATTTGCTCATTTTACCTCAACGTATAATTATAGGGAACAATTTTTGTACGAAAGTTATTTTTTTAAGTGTCTATTTAGTAATTTTTGATATCGGTGTTTTTTGTAAAAGTGTTCGGAATAGTTAGACGTTTAAGATAGGTGCAAAAAAACGGTAAAAACAAACATAGTGGGCTTTAATAATCTTCATCGTAGTACTAATTTGTTAAAACACAAATCGGTTAATGTTATAATGTGCCATAATTTGTAAATAATTTTGATTCTTTGTAATTTATATAAAAATTTATTTCGTTGTCGGTTCAGAAAATTTATTGTATATATGTATTACTATAATTATTTAATTGAATGTTAGTTTGATGTATATTTTATTTATTTCTGCTTACTTCATCTATATTAAACAATTATTAAAAAAATTATGTGAAAGATTTATCATTTTTTATTAGGTTTTGTTAGCGAAAATACCAAAATCTGATCTGATAAGATCTGCCCTTTGCACATTCTTTGAAAGTTTGAATTTTTAATGAATGCTATAGTTTAAACAATACGTGTGTTTATACACTGATAAGGATGTTTATCAAGAGGATCTCCGAAACCGTAGAAGATAAGACGATGGTCAAATTAATGAAAAGTTGCGCAATTAAATAGATATACCATTTTTTTCTGATGCTATTTGAAGAGATACAAAAAAATAGAAAACACTTTCTTATTGCCACTTTTTGAACTCTACAAGACACCGTTGAGAGATTTTCAATATAAGGTTTCGTTTCGGAGAAACCATCATCAACTTTATTTTTTCATATGGACCATAAAAAAAGTACCTACATACTGTATTGAGTAGCATGTTTTTTACGAATACAATGATATATGTCATACACAAAAGAAACAACAGTTGGAAACTCTTGGTTTCAACAGCCGCTGGTCCACCATACTGTTATAACCAACAGTTTTTTACCACAACATGGATATCCTCATTTTAGGAATTTTAAGAACCACATGAGTTAAAAAATATTACCCTAGGCACGTTAGAAAGTCTTAAAAACCGTATTGATGCTATCAATATTTAGAATATTATTGATCAGACTAATTTTAGTGTTCAGATATCAGAAATGTTGATTCTGATACATTTAATGAGTTTTACTATAACGTTATGGACTCAAAGTCCTACAGGTTTGAGGAATCTGTTAATGAGCATGAGTTCAATTGAACATAGCAGCTGTAGCAATAATAAAAATCCTAAGAATTCTTATTACCTAATTCTAAGAATCGTGGAAACCACAAGAAATGTGTGAATCTTAAAAATTTATGAACGTTAAGAATTCGGCTTGTTCGGAAATCTTGGACACCTTTTCGGTATTTTCAGAATTTATATTATCTTGAGAAGATTAAACAGCTTTGGCAGTTTGTTAGTCAAGGGAATTGTATGCACCTTAGAAATATTAAGGGCTTAAGAAGCATCTAGGATTAAGTTTACTTCAGAACAGGATTTTGAGAATTTAAATTGTTTTGCGAAAATTAGGAACTTTAAAGCTCTTTACAAACGTTAGAAAGCTTAACTAATTTACGTACCTTTGAAGTTTCTGTAGACTTAAGAATCACAGGAACCGGAGAATCTGATAATTTTTTGTGTGTAGCAAGGAATAAATTGAAGTTTCCTACGATTGTCTTCATTTTATCAAAATCTGAGAGAATGAAAACTACCCGATTTTTTCACTTGTCAACGAATATATCTGAAAGTAAAACACACCGTTCCTTTTGCAGGTATTTAATATTGTTAATATAAATGTGATCTTTTTGTTGAGAATCGCAGGGAAAAAGGTTTACATTCTCTTCCTGTTTACACTCGTTAGTCGTTACATAGCAATTCGTGTGAGATGTATCGGTTTCAATGCTGTTTTGTCTAATAAACTACTGCTACTATGAAATTTCAGATAAAAGTTATTATACAGGGTGGTTACTGGTTAACGACGCGTCGAGTCGATTATGTTATGGAAAACTAATGCGAATAAATTCGTGAAAAGTTGTAGATAAATGAGCCTGTTTCATCGAAAATATTTTCAATAAATTAAACTAATTCGGTATTTTAAATGGGGTGCTCTACAGTTTTGGTTCATTTCTTCAAGTCATATAAAAAGATATAGTTGATGATGATTTTTCCGAAACGAAATGTATTGAAAATCTCTTAACGGTGCCTTGTGGACCTCAAAAAGTGTCAATGAGGAAGTGTTTTTTATTTTTATGTATCTGTCCAAATAACATAAAAAAATAAAGACGAAATCGGTAAATTTCGGTTTTTCTGGCATACGTATCTTAAGAAGTAATCGGAATGTTCTAGTTTTCTTTAAAGCATGATAATAACTGTTTAATTGAGCAAGTTTTCGCTAATTTGACCATCGTCGTATGTCGTGTTAAGACATCATTTAGGGATGAGTTAAAAACATACAGGGTGCGAAAGAAAAGTTGGTGAAAGCACCATTGGGTTAACTTTTATTTTTTATGAGAAAGCACTAATTTTCTATTTTGCAAGAAACTCGCTAGAAATGGGCGATTGAGACATCATTGTAATACCTTTTAAAGAGAAATTTAAATTTTTTTTATTGGTTTTTCGCAATATTTCAGTGATGAAAAAATTGCCGACAACTTATTTTTCCTGAGGTTTTAACTAAAATAGCTAAAGTATTCAATTTTCATAAGAGTGCCTTGGAAACAAAAGGCATTTTGGTAAGCTATAAGTAACGGGCGTTCAAAAATGAGTTGCTGTCAAGTCGCCTTTGGAAGTTTAAGGTATGATTTCCCATGTAAACAAAAATTCCAAAGGTGACTCGACAGCAACTCATTTTTGATCGCGTGGTACTAGAACAATCGATGTATATTTATGTCCAAGGTACACTCTTAAAAATTGTATAATTAGGTGGTTTTTTAGTCAAAACGCAGTAGAAAACTATCGTTATGTGGCACAAATATATATCACATTCACATTTATCTGTAAAAATGTGTGGTTCTTTTATATTAAAATGGAGCTCTAAATTGACCAATTTACCCAACATCGTAGCTGTTAATATAACAAAGAACCTTATCGTAAAGCGTAAAAAATTGGCACCCTGAAAAGTCTGAAAAACTATAATTTGGTCTATATTAATGTTGTGGCTATCAGCAACCCATCTGAAAGCTCTAATGAGAAGTAGGTAGTTAAGACAGAAGAATAAAACCATAATGTACCTTCATTGAAATTCAATATACAGGTACGTACCTATCACAATGTACTGAAGTCGCGTTCCATTGCAATTTATCCGTTTTCGTAAAAATTACACCCAAAGCATAAACTATGATTGGATATAATGCAAAATCGATTGACATACACATTAAGTTGCAGAAATCATACAAAACTGGTGTTTGAGGTACAAGGTATTATAATAGTTTTACCCTCACTCCAAGGTTGGTATTTGGTCGATTGACATTTGGCCAAGAAGCATATAGTAGCAGTCAAAGTTAGAATAAGCTTCTGTACTATTATGTTATTTATGAGACACTAGCATCATTTCCAGAGAAAATGAACTATTGATTAAATTCAGTCATGCAAGACGAAAAATGACAGCAAATTTCACTTGTCGGTAGTCTTACATTACCCTTTGTATTTGAGGCGCGTTTGATATTTCAAATTTTTGCCCTTTGTCTATAAAAAGCCTCCCGTAAACATAATAAATAAGAACATTGCGTAGCCCGATCCTAAGATTCTTTATTTTTATAGCCGTACACGTAGAAATTACTAACATAAATGCCCTCAGAGGGGATGCTCTGCACTACGCCCTCGACCATGTGTGCACTAAACGTCATATCTCCCTCCAAATTCGCAAGATGATGGAATTACGTCCAGCACACGACTGATCTATAACTTCGCTCACCCAACGTGGGGCACTTAAACGCTTAGGGCGAAACCCCTAAACCGAGTGTGTTAAAATTTTAATGAACCCGTGGAGGGGATTGCACCAAAGATTAACCGAAGGTGGAAAAAGCAAAGAACGGAAGCCTTTCACGTTTACCCTTTGCGGTTATCGGAAAATGATCTTGAAGTTTACACATATAAAATTACCGAACTGTCCATTTCTAATGTAATTAAAGCTGCGCATTCGAGTTTGAACGATTCCGAGGACGAGAGCGAATAACTTTTCGTCATACTTGAGGGATGCGTGAAGTATTGATCTCTGGTCCTTAGTCACGCAATGGAAAAGGCAACAATCAAAAATCGGCCCGAATGCCGGGACCGGATGACAATATTTTCGTGTATTACTAGTCGGTTAATACAAGAAATGCCTATTGCCAGCACTGTACCATTTTAGTAAAAGTATTTGGGGGTGTTTTCTCGAAAGGGATCCGTCCCTTTATAACACAAGTCACGTGGTGGGAAGAGTAGGGGGGACCAAAACAGAAGGAACTGACGCATTGCATCGTATTCGGTATGGATAGCTAGTGCATAAACAACAAAAATATTCTCTTAGTGACGGTAGATTTGTAGTGTATTTTTCGCAAGTATTATTATTATTAAGTAGTGAGTAATTTTCGAAATTTTTACACAAACGTGTGATACAAACAAATCGTGACAATAAGGGGGATGATTATTGAAGGTTTGGATATTTCCTTCCCTTAAAATGGTCGTGTAAGTATCCCGAATTTATTATTTTTAATTGATCTAGAGCGACTGGTTGTTTACGTGTATGTTTATTGGTTCAGTTTCGATCGGCGTCCATAGCGTCGCGATGCCTTTGTTTGTCAAGGAACAGGTGATTTGTGCGGTAGGGCGGAGGGGTTGTTAACTTACTTATTTTCAAAGGGTACGTTTTGTTGCGACGTTCGACTAATGGAATTCTCGATTGTTTTCAGGTTCCGTCTTGACTTCCGCATGATGGAGCTTTAAATATAAAAATAGAATTCATCGCCTTTGTATAATAAACGTCACGTTCCTGTAGGGGTATTGAAAGCTAAATGTCATCCATATACAAAAGGGAGAATAAAAGGTTTATATAAAACAAAGGGATGCGGTGGTGGTAGACTGCTCGACGCTTTTGTAAGACAGTGGCGCCTCCCCGACGTCGGACGGCACAAACTCGAAACGCGACCAGCAACATGTATTTATAACGATTACTCCTCTTGACCGATATTAACGTTTTTATTTACCAAAAATACAAATAAAGTGAAATGGGGGTGATGAATTAAAACTCCCTCAACATGTCCAATCCTCAAGGTATTTCAAGATAATGAGTAACGAAAACGGACGATTCCAAAAAACGGTCAAATGCAGAGTTAAACTTGTAAGTTCACTTGTATTTACTTTAATCTGCATGTTGGACATTAAAATTTTGTGTATCTGACAATCAGGAATGATGATAACGTAAATTAGGTCAAGCGAGCTTAATTGTGTCAAAGGTAGCGGTAGAAGCACAACGGTGCGTAATGATTCGTTTAAAAATGGGGTGAATTCTTCAGGTCATCGGGTATATTTACAATTTCTGCAGTAATATGTAGGAAAGCAGAGCACATAACCAGCAGAAGCGCAGTAGTAATCTGACAGTGACGGTCGCGAGTTCTTCGACCTAATCTCTGCAGACTAGTTATAGGCACGCACTTTTGTTATTTTCCTTTTCATTCCTTTCAAGCATTGTGCGTTTCCGGTATTTTGTTCTACGCCCATCTCATTGGCACGATCAGACTTCCGGTACAAAGTTGTTCTTTTCATTTCTACAATTCTTGATATGTGCCGAAACAAAAAGAGGCGCATTTCTTAAGTTGTAGGTGAGTTGATTATGTTATAAATTATGGTTAGTAGTTTTAACGGCATCTGCTCGAGGGTGCGCAGGTGCTATTAATACGTTCCATTATAATTTATTTTCAAAATTATGTCCCAGTTTTGTTTGCGTGGTGCTTATTTTTAGGTTCTTACTGGATGGGGAAATTCTCCAGGCGCTTCCTGTTAGCGCTTTTGTAATTTATCGAAACTAATATATAAACGTTTTGACATCCTCCGGTATGAAATTATATCAAAATCTTTGGGATCGATTTCAGTCGTCGCACAAGTCCTCCAAGCAGATTGCTACTCTTTTAACTTCAAACTGAACGTCACGGATTTAAGCAAATGTTCAGGAAATCGTATGCGAAATTCCTTTTCTGGTATTACTTTATGCTTGAGCTTGATATATCAAACACTTAGGTAAAGCAAAACCATTACCACGTGGGTATTGCCACTTTGAAGTCAATACGTTTATAATCTGAGCGTGGATGGACTGGCAATATTGAGGGCACATTTTGGTCAGCAAACAATTCTTGTAGATCACTGTTTGGGAATCGACCAATCGAGTTTAGTCTTTTTCAAAGAAGATTGGTGCATAAATAAGGATTCAGATCCATTTTGGGTAATGATGTCAAAGTTAATTTTTTATAGTTGCACATCTGGAACCCATAAGCTTTAACATGGTGGAAATCCGAAGTCGATACGAGGCCTTTTGGTACATAAATAACGATTTTGACATCTTTTGGGTAAAAATATTTTGGTCTCCAAATCATCAAGCAATCGAGTTTGATGGTTTGCCCAAGAAAATTGATGCATGGGTAAATACTAATTTTGAGATCTTTTGGTTTCTATTTTAAATCATTTAGAGTTTAGTTTCCAACAAAATTGGTGCATAAATAACGATTTTCTGGCGGAGGGCTATATTATATTTAGGAAAGGAAGTTCTCTTGCTTTGCATACCACCACAAAATCGTCCGCATTTTTTACACAGCACGAAGAAAAAATTATGACGTCTGACCTTCCGTAATCCGGCCTTCTTCTACAAAACTACCCCACCTTACAGCATGATTGTATCTAATTTTAACACCCCTACCTCTTTGAATCTGAAGAGAGAAAATCTATCAGAAGTAAATACACAAGAGCTCTTGTACAGATAAAGCGCACTTTTTTTGTGACGCCCCCCCCCCCTGGATTTCGGTGCCCAAGACGACCGCCTTGGTAGCCTCACCCGCGCGACTGCTTTGGGGGGGCTATTTACACATAAACATTTTTAAAGGCCGCTTGCATACATTCAAAATATACGCTATATAATGCAAGAAGAATCAAGCCCTTAGAGAAACTCTCCGAAATATTGCATTTTCCCTTTGTAAGTACCTTCCTCCAATATTTTCGAGATTCACAATTAAGTTTTTACATCGACAGTAGATGTGCCTCGTTTAGATGATCATTCCGCCCTTTGAGAGTACCCTCCTCTCACACTCCGTTCTGCAGATATTTGGACTCAAAGTTTTGACGTCATCAATAGATATATCTCGTCTTTATTTATAAGTACACTCTTCCGACACTTCGTTTTGAAGATATTAGCTTCGACTTCTCCAATAGATATGTGTCGTACAGACGACTCATTTTGCCTTTGAGTACTTTCTTCCTTCAAACCGTTTTCGAGATATTGGCTCTTAAAGCAATTGCTGAGATCTCCACCGCATAATAATAGTGTGTTTTTTTCAAAACTGCGTTAAAAATGGCATTAAGCGAAATCATTCACATTCCACAGTTACACTCGTCGCGCCTACAACAAACCTACTACATACTACCATATTCCACAGTTGATTAGTCGCCTTTTACGACACGCAGTGACCTCTGCGATAGGGGTATTCTTTCCCGCCCCTACATGGGAAAAATGTGAGAATGCAAGAGCAAAAAAAAACGAAGATTTCCATTAAAACGGATCCATTCATACTAACTTGTACCTATCGCATAAGTTTTGAATCCTCCTCGATCCCTTATCGTGATCGGTTGTAATTTCGGATATTTCGAGGGGATTGTCGGAGAGAGTACTCACAAAGGCAAAATGAATCGTCTGGATGAGACATATCTATTGGTGAAGTTGATGCGAATATGAAATCGAAGAATTGGAAGAGGGTACTCATAAAAGGCAAGTAGAACGTCTGTAGTATCGAAGTATTATTATGTCAAAACTTGCAAATATCTGCAGAACGGGGAGTCGGAGGAGGTTACGCTCAAAGGGTGAAAAGATCTTCTAGACGAGACACATTTACCGGCGATGCGAAAACTCGAGCGAAAATTTAATTGTGTGTAGTCAGTTCTCTTTGCTTTATTTTCCAAATTAAGAGTGCCCCGCCGCTTCTCCTCCGAATCCATAACTATACAGTTTCTGTTACTAATAAAATGTTATGCCATAAGAGCTATAAGAGCACCCTGCGTTTTCTCTTTAAATTTAACAGAATGCTTCTCAAGGCAAACCATGATTCAACAACAATTTCATATATTTACTCTTTATACCGCCGTATGAGGCAAATTTCCTCGAAAATTTCCCGGGACTTTTTGTGGGCGCACATTCCAGACATTCCACGCGAAATCCAATCTCAAAAATTGGTAAGATTTTTTTTCTGTAAGAGAATTTGGTTTATTGGAAATTGAAAATGATGCTGTTAACTCCATTAAATGTGTCAGTCTATAGTCTAGACTCCTAGACGTTAGTTACGTGGAAAAAATTTTGGTGTACGGTTTCCTTTATAGTTAGTTATAAAAAAAACGCTCATATCATTGAATATAATTTATGATACCTTGTTGACCCATCGCATTTTTGGAAAAAATCTGACAACAAAGTGAAGGACTTCCAAAAAATAAATTATCCTTAACCTGTACCTCAAATAATTCTTTGTACGAATACAATTGTGTGAAAAAGTGTCATCGCAGGCAGCAAAAATAATCGTTGAGGAAAGTACAAGGCTAATTGCTTTTTTTTTCATCAAACTAACGAGCAATAAGTTGCTTTGAAAAGATTGTAATTACTGTTTCTACACACGTCTAATTAAATTACAGTACTAACAAATGTGTTAAAAATGGATGCGTTTCCTTCACTGTTCATTGCACGTTTTCTAATACCATCACGTCAAAATACATACACAGACTCACCAAAACTCTTCCTGTTTAATTTGCATTTATTTATAGAAACACCGTGTACATAGCACAAAATCCTAATTAAAAAATATTAAAAATTTGTGTACTGTGCGACTCTTGAGAAGAACGGACGAATCCGCTAATTGGTAATGTAACATTGTATTGTTTTGATTTGGTTTTGGCGTTTGGGACATTAAGAGATAATTAGTTAATTTTCGCTCGGTTATACTCATCGCATTAAATATAAATTTTATTACGCCAATCTTGTCTGGGATGCAATTTCCCGTTTGTCGTCCGCTCAAGGCGTTCCTCCAGCCACCAACTATTATAGATGGTAATTTATATTAGTCTTGCGTCCCCTTTTACACATTTCTCGCGCTTTCAATTCAGAATGGGGGGTTTGCAGTAGTGCATAAATTACTTTTTTTGGTCCAATCAACGATAGTTTTTAAAAATGTTCAGTGGTACATTCCCCAATTTGCTTGATCCACTTTCTTTCGCAAAGAGTGTGGATATTTTGGAACTGAAAGGACATGGGGACATAAGAAAATTCTATATTTGTAAAGTCGAAGATGCAAATATCTATTAAATTCTAGAGAAAGTTGAAGATCTTTGGGAGTTATTATTCAACTGGCCTGCGTAGAAAATTGCCTATTAAATGTTTGATTAAAAGTTTCTAGTCATCAAACTCGACTGATTGTAATTTGTATTTCGGTTTGATTAATTCCTCATCCTGTAGGATCATCGATAGGTTGTTCTTCTTCAACGATTAGCAATACCGATCTCACATATGCCAATGTGATACTTTTATCTTGATAAATGTTGACTTATATTAATTAACACCTCTATCATATATTTTAATTTTTTTTATTCCGGGAAATCATTTGATCTCATCTTGAATACCTATATCAAAAATTTCTATCTCAGCATCTCTAAAATTGACTAGTGTGAACTTGGCCCCCCAACTTTAGAAAGCAATAATTTTCGTGATTGAAATCGATTGCGCTTCGTTTGCGCACGTTTGCGCACAATTGCATTTTGTTTGCGCGCTTCCGGTTTCAAAATTACGAAGGAATCAAATTTGGGGGGGCCAACTTCACAACTGCCCCCCAAGTTTACAATTTTGACATTTTTTGTCTTGTGATCGTTTGCGCTTCGTTTGCGCATGTTTGCGCTACCAATACCTTCGTTTGCGCCCCCTTCGTTTTTGAGTTATTCCAAATACAAAATTCCATACTGGCCCCCCATTTTTCAAATTTGCCATTTTTTTCCATTTGATCGTTTGCGCTTCGTTTGCGCACTGCCGGTTTCAAAATTACGAAGGAATCAAATTCGGGGGGGCCAACTTCACGACTGCCCCCAAAGTTTACAAATTTCACTTTTTTTTTTCTTGTGATCGTTTGAGCTTCGTTTGCGCATGTTTGCGCTCCCAATATATCCTTACATTCTATTCTGTATGAAGAGGGTCTGACAAGCCTGAGTAGCCCACCTCCGGGGTCCCTGTAGTCACGATGTCAGAGGAATGAAACACGATGACTTTTTAGCGCATTTTACAACTAAGTTAGGTGCGCTGTTGCAGCCACTTCCTCTGTCCGTCCGCCTGTCCGTCTGTCCGAGGCCTTAACTACTCATACAGTTTCCAAGATATTCGTTCTTTTTGCATTCGCTAGCATATGGCTCTGGCACCTGATCAAAAAAATATTTTGACGATGCGCAGGCTGCGCAATATCAACTTCTTATTTATTAATATTTTGTTGAAAATCTAATACAATACTTCTACATAAGATCATAACATTATCGCAATAGTAAACATTAAATGTTGCACATTGCGCCAACTCGCAATGCACATTATAATTATACGTAAGCGCAAACACACAAAAAAAAAAAAAAAATGTCAAATTTGTAAACTTGGGGGGCAGTTGTGAAGTTGGCCCCCCCCCGAATTTGATTCCTTCGTAATTTTGAAACCGGCAGCGCGCAAACAAAATGCAATTGTGCGCAAACTTGCGCAAACGAAGCGCAATCGTTTTCAATCACGAAAATTATTGCTTTCTAAAGTTGGGGGGCCAAGTTCACACAGGTCTAAAACTGTCATTACGCTTCTCTAATAAGGAAGGCAAGTAAATTTGAAAATTATGTCATGGCCGACTGATTGATAAATGTCGCGTTATAGTTTACCTTTACGGTATAGTTTTGCGGTAATAAAGTACCTCTTTAGTACCTACTAATAAACGAAAGTAACTTTATTTTTTATAATGTCTGAATGAATACCTATTCATTTGCATGTTTAAATTTGTTATAATTCGTGGCCCAACCTCTTGTTTTTTTGGGAGTTTGATTTACTTAGTTACCTACCACCACTGTCTCTGGGCTTTTGGTATCCTAAAAAAATGTTTATCTTTAAAAGTCTTCTTGTTTGTCTGATGGATAATAAATTTTTCAAAACTGTGTAAGCAGTTAGGTCGTAGATAACTAATTTCAATATTGCCAATCCATAAATGACAATATTTTCAAAATAGCATTTGAACTCTTTCTAAATTCATAAAAGAACAGCAAAGAAAAATTTAGCGTCACCAATACCTGGTTCAATACCACCTACCACCTCGAAGACTATACCTAGACCTCAGCACAAGACTCTGACAATAATATCGTCAGGGGCCAAATTGCCTATATTTTAATCATCAGATATCCTCAAGGCAACTCAGTAACAGCAAAACTACGCCTCAAACTACGGGTCAGTAAAACGCACAAACGCAACACGAAGAATTGACCTGGAGGAGCTTAAAAACAACCCCAATAGGTAATAAATTCGCTAAAAATGTTGTTGAGAGAACGTCCAAACACATCATGTACATTTGATTCATTTTCGATGATTACAATTCGCCTAAAATGTTAAGTTAAAAAGTTGTTTTGTTCGCTGATGATGACAGCTTTGCTGTTGAAACACGTTTTGGTTTATTGGGTGTTTTTGTTTTACTTCAATTAGTAATGAAAGTGTGGAATTTTTCCCAAAAATTGCGAACCTTGAACGACGCTTATGAGAAGAATTGTGGCGGAGAAGAATTACATGTGATCGACGAATTGTAGTCGAAGAATGTTTTTAAATCCAAGGGGGTGAATCTCCTCAAGAAAAATGGTAAATTTAAAGTAAAGGGCCACCGCTGCATTTCACAGATCCACGTGCGTTAAGAATAAAATGGAATACCCGACAATTATATTAGCTAAGGGCCAATATTGCATTGCATCGGTTTCTCGTGCCGGATACCATTTTACCTTTGAGGTTTGCTGCAATAATAATAATGGGTGGGATTTCGAAATCTGCTCCCAAAAAAGACTTACATTATAAACCCACTCGAAAATGCATTGCATTATGTACACATTCAAGTGTTCTAGAACGATAATGAAGTATTAACTTGAGCGCATTTTATGTAAAAATCAAGTCAGCAATTCAATATGCTGGTAGTTATAAAAATTATGTGCAAGTAAACTTCTTAGGCGTTAATTACCCAATTATGTACAGGACTTTTCCGGGTTAATTACCAAATTAGAATAGTTTTGGGAATCGTCCAATTTTCGAATCGTGCTGCAGTTGCGAAAGTTTATTTACGCATACCCTCTATATTAAGTGTTCAAGCTTCGAAACTAGAAAAAATAAACAATCTTACACAGATGGACGTCAATTACGAATCTCGTTTTTCATTTCAGTATAAAGTATCCAGTATGCAACGGTGCCCTTACATCCATGAGATGAAAGAGAGGCTCCTTGGGGAGCAGATACCGATGGAACCGTTAACAAAAAGCATTCCACAACCACCACCGCCTCTTAGTACAATGGACCAACAACCTGTCGGTACCGTAGTAAAGGTATTTATTTATCTTTAACCAACATCAATAGAAATACAATAGTGCCGTTTAATAGTTAAACTCCGATGGGTACGGATCACACACATCACCCGCACATATCCGAAATGATCGTACACCTTTGGTGCCTCGAGAACCCGAAGATGAATATCGTTGCATCGAGAGGACGTTCTATCCAAAAAATGCGAAGTAAGTATTGGATTCTCTCTTTTAATTATCGTAAAATGTTTGTCTTTGCCAATGTTTTTATTGCTTTACGATGATGCACGAGTTAATTCAATAAACAATTCTGAGAGCCAAATCAATCATCGTCACGTCAAGCGTAATTTCAAATATTTGGATCTACTTACAAATAATTAAATATTTTTATTTGCGCACCCCGTACCCAGAAATTTTTGCTCTCAAATTTTGTTGGAGAATGTAAAAATGAAAGACTTTTATAGATAGACAAACTTGATTTGACAAAATGTTGTTAAATGTTTATATTGCTTATAATTGGAGATCCAAATATTTGCTACCGCCGTTTAGTACAAAATTTGCTTCAAAATTAAAGGCGCTTGTACTATACCATAGTGTAATATTCTTTACACTAAGCTACTATTTAACATTAAAACAGGATCCCCAGAAAGGTAGAGTACATGTTGTAGCATAAATACCACAATAGACGTATTTTGAAGTACCTACTTTGTGAGAGAGCTAAGTTCAATCAAAGAGTAATGTGCCCCCTCTACCTTTGGTTTGTAACTCTTAAAATCAAAACATAAAGTTACTAATGAACTCTACCGAAAACGGAAATTAATTAAATTAATTGGAAACGAAACGATTCCTATTTTCTCGAATTACGCATGAGAAAGCTGCTTTGTTTTCTTTTTCTTTGTGAGACTGACAATAAATTATACTGTTAAAATTAATTAAATAATAAATAGAACAAGGAACATTAGTACCTATAAATTAGATAGATCTCCTGTATCCCCGACCGATTTTGACGTGATGTCTTTAAGAAACTGGTGGCGTAAACCATCTATGCCAAGGCTTGGTCCAACAGGAAAGAAATTATTACCCTTTTGAACTTCGTGTTTTAGTATAGTGAGTAGCGGTCCAGAGATCCATCTGAAGGATCCGGGAGCGAAAGATCACGCGATGGGTGCTTAGCGGTGAGTGAGTGCAGCGTGTTTTTGTCAAAAGGAGCTTAAAATTCTTGTAGCACCTTTCAGTTTAAAATCTGCGATTTTAGCCTCGCCTTGACTTTTTAGTGACTGTTTATTTTACGTGTGGCTTTTCCCTAGTTCTCCATCGGTTCGATTCCAGGTTCTTTTTTATTTTTGGGGCAACGTTGTCTGTTTATGAGCCTCCCATGTTAAAACATTTGTAGAAGAATAGGATCAGTTCTTCACAAGCTATAAAATAATTGTCCTGAATCCTTTTGTTTATCGTTGCTCCTAATTAATTTGATCTTTCATGGTATTCTAATTAAAGGTCTGTACGAAAGGAACTGTTTTCTACCAACTACTGCCCTTCTTTCTGTCCTTTTATCGTGTCGGAGAATTTTGAATGAATGCCAGGCGGTCTTTAAATGCTTGTGTGTAAAGACGCTTTCCTTTATAACCCAACCATTTACTAAGCTATTTCGGATTTAAAAAAATGCGCTTTATCTGCACAAGACTTATGCATAATTTATACTTGGTTAATGTACGAAGAACTTGTAGCTTTAAAGATAATTCGGTTTATAAGAAAAACTTTGCATTTTCTATAGCGTCAGTCAAAATTACTACTTACTTATTGAAGTTCTTCGTATGTTACCCATCAAAAAGTCGTACAATTACACATAGAATTAAAAATTGCATTCAATTACAGGGGGTTCCATAGAAAATATACCTTTTTAGAGCTCTACTTTGTGAACGCACCGTGTATAATTCAAAATATTTTTAAAATGTGGAGAATATTCAACCATATCATACGCACGGGCAAAATATGCAAAGGCATTGTTTCGATGCTCAATAAGAAAATTTGTTATGACCACGCACCAACAGATGCCAAACTCGCTTTTTTTTACAATTTCGCTGAGAAAAAAATTCGTTATAACGGGGTAGGTTCATTTGAATCAAAGATCTAGTTGTCCGTCGATTGTTGAGAACCCTGATTTGTAGTAAAACATTTGAGATTTATACTATTCATGTGTATCTTGGGAGTACTTCTGTGCAAAGCAGTACAATTCCACTTATACAGTGTGTAATTTAAAAAAAGCCGCAAGTTGTAGCGCCTAGATTTTGTCTGAATTTAATGCAACAAAAAACATTTAATGTCTGAAGAAATACTACAAAACTACCATAATTAAAATGTTTTAAATTATTACTTTCGGATGCTACTGTTTACTTAAATTTTTTAAATTGCATGATTATATTTTTTTAATGGAATTTGATAGAATTTGTCGCTCAAATTCAGTGATTAATATCCAAGTTACTTTTGATTGGAATTTTTTACGCACAAAACTAAAGGAGCTAATTTTTCAAAATTTTGTAGCATGCCATGGAAACAATCATCTTTACGCATCAAGTGTAACAGAAATGGTGAGAGATTTTATAGCATGCCATGGAAACAATCTTTTAATAGCTATCCGTAGCTGGTTAATAGTTTTCCCCGTGACTTTTTTTCTGTTCCCTCGCTTGAAAGCTCCTTTGAAAGATCATCGTTTTGGAGAAGGTCAAAGAGGTTTGCACTAAGGCTCAAGGAGATTCTTTGTTTCTTATTTATAGAGATATTTCTTTGAAATTTTAACTACAGATGCTTCTAGTAAAGTCAAGCACATTGTACATCGAAATTCTTATTCAATGATATTGTAAAAATCAGATGGGCGCATGCGCACACTACGCAATGTCAACTTTCTTATTTAAGTATAAAGATTTTTTGAATTTTAACCAAAGATTCTTCTAGTAAAGGCAAACATATCGCATACTTTAAATCTCAGGTGTGTGTATGCGCAAACTGCGCAGTCCTATGTTTCTTATAAGAATATTTATGCCATAACGCATTTCCCGTTGTACACATAAATTATAGTCTGTTTGACTTTTCGGGAAGTACTGATCAATTCATGGAAAATGCGCTAAAGTTAGACTAAATAATATGTAGAAATAGGGGATGACAACAGGGTAAAATTCTGGATAGAGTGAATAATAAGAACTAATTTCGTACATTTAAACTATGTACTGTAGGTACCAAATATTTGAAAAACCCTTTTTAAACCCTAAGGGGACTGATTACTTCACTTTAATGTGGTGTATTGCAACGAGATCGTAAGGAGCACATTATAATATATGGAAATTTTTTTTTAAAGAAAATCGGTGAAATTGTAGGATGTAGGAAAGAAACGAGTATGATGAACGTAGTGCGGGGGTTATAGGTTTCAACCTTGCATTTTGTGATAACTTTATGAAACTTTCAGAGGCTGTTCTAGACACCCTAAGGTTCAATTTCAGCTATGCCGCCACCCCCGCAACTCCGGACGGCACTTGCTATAGCGGGTTTCTTAAGCGCAAAGTAGCATTTCAAATACCCGCCCATAAAATGAGTCAAAATGTATATCCAGGGTTTGTTTTGTACTTTCTTACATCTAGGAAGGTTGAAGGGAATTGTCAATCCCTTCAAACTTCCTAGATGTAAGAAAATACAAAAGAAACCCTGGACATACATTTTTGACCCATTTTATGGGCGGGTATTGAAATGCTACCTTGCGCTTAAGAAACCCGCTATAGCAAGTGCCGTCCGGGTTGCGGGGGTGGCGGCATAACTGAAATTGAACCTTAGGGTGTCTAGAGCATCCTCTGAAAGTTTCATAAATCACAAAATGCAAGGTTGAAACCTATTTTGGCTCTTAACCCCTGCACTAACGGGATTCAAACACCTTTGTTTTAAATAAAGAATCGAATCGTTTCACTTCCGCACATTTTTACCCCAGAAATGATCCCGCGCCACATCTAATCTATGAAACAAAGTGCAGGCCACCTCGTTTTGTGTATTTTAGTTCACGGGTCCCACGTTGTAGGGGTTGTAGTTCTAGTAGTAATCATAGCACCCTTATTATCTACTGGTAAAGAATCATCGTACCAGTTTAGTCCTCTCTTTTGCGTTGGCAGTTTTCCGAAACATAAGGTTTACTTCCAGGATTCTGAAAACGGTTCCCGTTTTTTTTCCCCGTTGTGTGGTTCTATTCGATTCGATTGCAGAGCAATTTCAAATGAAATATACGGGTAGAGTGCGTGAAAAGGAATCGTCGACCATTTGGCTTGAAATATGTGAGAAACGTGCCCTTTTTAATAAAGTCGATTCTTTTATCACCGATTGTCCATAGATATGATAATTCCCAAATTGCCCGGATTAAATTTGTATAAGTAAAATAAAAGAATAAAAAACGACTGAGAGATTCATCATTCGCCACTTTAGGAGCGTCTTAAATGGTCCTTTCATCTTGAATGGTATCTGAGACGTTTATAAGATGAGATTAAAGCGATTTATGGCGTGGGATCACTTTGTCGAATTTTTTTTGGTCTTTACTATGCGTGTGTACATAAAGGAATTTGTTTGGTGCTGAAAGATTGATAAGTTGTTGAGCGAGCCTTCGAATTAGTTTTAGAACAGTTTTCAGCCTCTCTGGTAGCTAACGCCCTCGCTCGAAGTGGGGGTTGCATCGGGAGATCAATATTATGTTACACTACCCGGCATTCCTAACAGAACATATGACTAATAACCCTTTATTTTTTATAAATTAATTTTTCGCGCGTTGGATGAAATGGCTTAGATGATTGATGCTGAGGGTCGTCGATTTTGGGCCAAAATTCGTTGTCACTGTGCGAAATGGTCTGATCGAGGTTGAGCGACTTTGATTGAATTTCAAAGATAATTAAGCAAATATTAATTACAAACACAATGCTTAAACGGTGGGCACCTACTTCATCTTTTGAAGAGGTCATCTGAGGTAACTGGGTCGAATCCCGGGACCAGCTCTTATAAACCTCCAATCGGAGCTTTCGCGCTTTTCACGTGACGATCCTGCAGCATCCCTTCTCTTCTGAAACGATCCTGTAAGCTTTTCACCATAGTATCTCCCCGAACAAGCGGAAAGGTTTTCGTTGAATAGATGTGAAATACACGGATCTGTTAAAATACGTACCTACCCCCTTCTTACGTAGAAAAAAATCCATTTTTTTAAATTAGTTCATCAGTACTTAGCGCAATGTGAATACTCGTTAACTAATAATAAGTTAAGGTGATAATAAATTTCCGGCCTAAAACATCGAGATGCGCGGGTATGTGATTGGTACAACGAATTTATACGTAATCCTTTAAAAAAGAATTTAACAAAATGGTGGGTGGTGGTGAAGTCAAGGTCGCAACGGTCGAGGTGGAGGCATCGGTCGACAATATGGCGACTCTTCCGGTTTCGCGGGCCCACGGTGGTGGTGGCGGTGGTGGAAACGACACCACCGCCGAAAAGAATAACACCACTAATAAAGAGATGGAACTTAAACGGGTGCAGCCGAAACCCGACAAAAGGTATATTGTCCCTTTTGTGTTACTTTTAAATAGTTCTTTATACGCTTAAACCGTACATCCGGGCATTGTAGATTCATTTTGTGAAACGTATCTGTTACTTTGTCTGCTATTAAATGCGGTGCCAATCGTTAGTGACAAAGGAAATATTTCAAAATTTCCATTTGTCCGCGTGTAGTGTAACCGGAAGGTTTTCCAAAACTTTAGTCAAGAAAATGATCCAAATTGGTACTTATACTACAAAATCCAAAATTCTTAGATACGTGCCTATGCCTACATTGCTATAAAAGGAAGATACATCAAGAGAAACGACAAACTGTAATCCATTTCCACTTAAAGTATTTACCTACTCTTGAAATTTAATTTAGTCTACTGTCTCCGTTCCAGATTTTAATTTACAATTGCAAAATTGTCAATATTTGCATACAAATTTAATTCTTGCTTTGCATTTCCCTGTAGCTTCAAGAAAAAAGTAATACAAAAAGATTAATTGGTTTATCTGTGGATTTTTCAGACTGGAGTGTGTGTTCAAATTTCTTATTAAATGACGGATTTCAGTATATTGATGCAAGTGCAATTAATCAAATTATTCTTTCTGTAGAAAGGTATCTATGTATATAAAATAATTTATCTTGTAAATTGGGAACATTCGAAATACACTTGAAATGCAATTATGAGATGGCTTTTCAAAAAAATTGAAAGAATTTGAATTATTGACTGTATGTTTTAAGAGTTTTGAAGCTATTTAAGTGTTTCCTGAAGGTTAGCTTTTCTAAGCTCATATGCACACAAACAGTGTAATTAATTGAGTCTTCGTTTTCTGTCTGAGACGAATAATTGAGCTCTTGCAGAATTAGAAAAAAACATGTGGTGCGGCATGCACGCTGCTTCCACGGTCATGGGTCTTCACTTCTGACCCCACATATCAGTAACACAGTTTTCCTATACCTACTTCTTAATTTATTTCTTATTGAATATTGTATGAAGATTTTAGCTTCCAACTAAGTATCTATGTAAGCCCATTTCTAAAAAAGACGTAATAATATGGCTTGTTTTAGTTAATTCTTTCCGACCGCCTCATTCGAGGCCTCACTTGAATCCTATATGCAAATTCCTCGGCAAATTCTTTCATCAGCTAGTATAGCAAAAGGCGGTCGAGTTTTGTTTGAAATAAGTAAAGCAATAAATGCATGTTAATTAAATTATTCTTGACCTACTCTATCTTATGTAAACAAGCAAGATGCGATAATCAAACACTTCTTGGAATAAAAAACTTATTTTTAACCAAGCTGTTAAGCTTCCTCCGAAATGAAAGTCTTAATATAATTTCGCCACTTGCTCTGACCTATACCCTAAATTTAAATTGTATTTATAGAAACAACTAACACTAAAAAGTTTTACAGTAGTGAAACGCATTCAACTATAGCTAACATGTAACTGTTCTGGAGTGCGCCATATTTATTTGTACTGTTTTGTTTGCTTTTAGGACGTCACTCTTCATTATAATGAGCTTCGTATACGCGAAGCTCTTGATAGTAGTTTGCATAGCGTACGTAATATCCGATGTAGTAACTCACAGCATTCCATTATATTATTATGAAGGTTTCTTCACGTATTTGTACGGAATGAGCATATTCTTCCTGCTGTACGTATTCTGCTTCCTGTTGCAAGAGAGTACGTGCTGCTCAGGCGAGAAAAAGGAGAAAGTTAAAAAGATATCGAAGGAGAAAGTTAAGGAAAAAGAGAAGGAGAAAAAGAAGGAGGAGAAGCAGAAGAAAAAGGAGGAAAAGGAAAAAAAGAAGAAAGAAATGGAGGAGAAAAAGAAAGAGAAAGATAAGGATAAAGATAAAAAAAAGGATAAAAAACAAGAGAAGGTAAGATTTACTTTGCGTACATTTTTTAACACCATACGCACCTATGTTGTAACTTTTCAATAATAGCTGAGGCATATTAACAATAACATACTCGAATGGAAGGGTGGTTTCAGTTTTAGGGGCTTACATTCCTTTGATTTTGATTATTTTGTTTTACTTTGTTTGTTCTATGTATAACTTTTAATTTTATTAATTTAGTTTAAGTTACTTTTGTGTTGTTGAGCTTGTTGTGCGTGTATAGAGGGAGGTGTTTCCCCGTAAGATGAGGGATGTGGTTCAACAGAGATCGACAACGCCCATCCCCCAGGTGAGCGAAGGTTGGTTGCTATTTTACCTTTCCTTCACTAATAAAATTTGTTTTTCTACATTACGTTCTTAGTTCATCACATGAAATCATTGACATATCAGACATGCACGTAATGGAAAGACTAATTTTCTTTGCGCTATTAACTGCTTTAAATTGAATGTGTCGCATTCAATTTAAGATGCTTCAAAACCATGGTGCAGGAAACACAGGATGCTTTTCACATTTTTTTTTTTAGTTTGTTTATTTAAGTTGATTAGCACAACAGTCTAACCTAAATCATAAATTGGTTGCTTCAGCAAAAACACTGCGTTTGGTAAATTGGTGTTACAATGTACCATCCTGTGCTTTCAAAATTTTCTCTAATCCCACCAAAAATTAATACACGCACAAACATGGCGCACCTTTTCACACTTATTTTTCTCTATCATTTGCTTCCTTCTTATTTGGTTATTTCGTTTTGCGGGGGTAGAGCACGTACCGTCGGAACTCCGAAGGGGTTGTTGACGTTGGGGTCTCAGGGGTTCCCGTCCCCGTCGCGGAGATTGGCGCGCAACTCTCATCTGACCCTCCTGTTATCCAGCAGGAACAGCAACCTCCACCTCAACAGCAACCTCCGCCGCCACCTCCTCCCGCTGCCGATATTGAGGCCGGCCCTATCGTCGCTAAAGTTACTCGCAAACGCAAAACCACGCAAAACGATCAGAGTCACGGCAGTTTTTTCTTAAGAATTGGTGCTATCGGTAAGTTAAATGTAAGTCTGTTTGACTAATTCAAAAAACTGCCGATTTTGTGATGGTGCGCACGCCTTATTATTTTTGTTATGATCTAATGATACAATCCTTTACAGCCTTTGGTCTGGGTACTATGATTTACAATGGTTTGGAATTTGGAACATTTTTCGAAATACCCTTTACGCCTCCTTGTTACATGATTCTTCGCGGTGTGAACCCCGTTTTGCAAATGATCTTTACCTTCATGCAAATGTACTTTATCTTCATGAACTCTCGAGTAGGTGATCTCACTCAATTGTCCATCGTAACTATTTTTCACGTTTTCAGCTAAACATCCACAGATTTAAAGTGATAGCGCGGTTTGGGCTTATGCACGTAGTCGCCACCAACATTTGCGTTTGGATCAGAACGGTGGTCATCGAGTACTTAAAGGAAATCACAATCTACCATAAGAATATGAACGCTACAGCAGTGCAAGAAGGAATTTTAGCAGGTAATCTTGTACAATCGAGGAATTATTTGGTTGTCAACACTGTAAATAACAAGCACGCAAATTACAGAAAGTGTTCGCTTGCAAACTATTCGTAACGCAAATGGTGTGCTTGGTACTCATCTCGCTGTTCCCGACATAATTCCCACAACCATTGTCGCTGCATCGACCGCCGCGACAATGTCTTCCAGTTCATTTGTAAAGAATTTAACAACCACGACGATAAGCACTGTTTCAACAACTCTTCGTACGACTACAGCAATGCCTACTATCCCTACCACACTCAAGCGTGAGTTACTTGCTTTACTCTTGCATGCGATCACTCTTTCTAACTAGTGATTTTGATTCACTTACTAACCATAGTTCTCTCTAAGGGATATTTACAACCACTGCCAAAACGTTACCTCCGGTGCTTTGGAAAATGACTAAAACTAACAGTTCAGCTTTAGTTACATCCACAACCGCGGCTATTACTAACGCTACAGCTAGACCATGGAAATTCCCTACGACTCCAACTCCCACACCGTTTAAAAACCTATTCGCTTACAAAAATCCCAATCACTACGACAGTAACGTGGTTAATGGTACGCTTTTAACGCTCATCGAGGACTACTCCCTATAAGTGTGCAATTTTAGTTGTAGATGACGCGGCAAATGTCATCAATGGGTCTAACGCCGTTGACGTGGGTTTTATGCAGGCTTTGGTATCCTATTTCAATGTTACCAACTCGACCGAGAACGCAACGGTCGATCCTCTAAGTTGTGGCCGGGTGAATATAATGGGCACGATCGTACAGGAATCGGCTCCGTATCTGTTTCCATTCATTATTGAATACTCACTGATTGGCGCTGCTGTAATCTACGTAATGTGGAAGCACATAGGCAGAAATCCTAGGTGAGGCCCAATCGTAAACAACTCAATTTCACTTGGGGCTGTTTCAGGTATGTAACGGAAGAGGACTTGGAGCATCGCTTGGAGGTGATGCTGTCACGTAGAGCGGTTGCGATGGCCCATGCTCAACACGGCCGCGTGGATTGCGTGGGAGCGTCCAAGGGTCTCTTTTTTGGTCTACTAATGCTAGTCGCGTCTTTGATATGTTTAATACTTTTCTTCGTATTAATCCGCCATCCTGACTTGGATCTCCTTGCCATTTATCTAGCGGACGTCTCCCACTGCGTCCTAATGGTGCTGAGCATCTTCGCGATATTCATCGGGTTCATCAGGTGAGTACTACGCAAAAGCTTGCTCGCAACATTCATCCTTCATTTTCATCCACGCTTTCACTTCTTGGGCATAGAACAAGTCTCATGCCTTCGGACCTTAATTCTAGGGTGCAGGCGCTTAAATTCAAAGTCGAAGAGCAAAGCGATCTCAATGACATCCTTTTACGCGTATCTGCATTTGGTTTGTTCCTGTATGCAGTTTTTAGCGTAATTGCTGGCTCACTAAATGCGTTCACCAAACAGCCCAATTTGCTCGTAATGATCACCGGATTGCTCTCTATATTACAGGTTGGTCTAATTCAGATAATACGCCGATTTAACACTTGTTTTAGGTAATATTGCAATTGTTATTCATTGCTGACGTGTCACGTCGTCGCGTTCATCTTCCTGAGCACGATCGCTCAAAACCGGGACGTCAAATAGTCACCTTTTTACTGATTTGCAACGTTACAATGTGGATAATATACACGTTCGAAACCAAAAAGGTCGTAGAAAATCCGGTTCAATTAGAATTTTATGGGTTTTTGGCGTGGGCCATCGTACAGCGTATTACATTACCGTTATGCATTTTTCACAGATTTCATTCCGCAGTTACATTAGCCGAAATTTGGAAGATGAGCTATAAAGCTCGACTGGAATAGATTCGCGCAATAGTAATATTGTTAAAAATTTGGCACAGAAAGATAAGACTACACGTACACTTTTGTCCATTGTTTTAACTTTACAAATATAAGTCTGATATTATTGCTCATTAGAAATTCTACTTAAAACATATACATACGCATATATATTTATATTGTTTTTGTTTAGAACAAAATCGTTTATTTATTATAACGCATTTAATCCTTAAGCTGCTAATAACGAACGTTCCAAATCATATAACCACTAATTTATGGTATTATTTCTATCCAAATGGCACATATTCGAGTTAATTTTATACCCTAACTTAGTGGTATACTTCTGAAAATGTTGGGCACACTTTCGCATGTACTAAAACATTAGGGATTAAATGAGATGCATATCGATTTCACAGTACGTAACGCGTTTAGCAACTCGAAATTAACAAAATTAGCGATAACGGGCGACGAGATTTGTGATGACCGAAGTACAAAAAGACTCGTTCCTACCCCATAAAGAGATGATGCCCAGTTTATTTGTGCCAAATCAAAATTGACTCACAGGCGTACTATGTAATCGACTCACTGTACCATTATTGTATATTTTCTTGTAAATATTTTCACATATCGATATAAGATTTATAAATATATGTACTATTTATTTTTGTTTTTAACAACAGATATCCACTGTTAGGAATGTCACGCGCAAAAGTTGTAGCTTTAGATTTCAATTCAGAATGTTTTTTACATAAGAGTATAAGTGATTTACATTTACAATAAGATTACCCATCCATAAATGTTCAAGAGTATAAATTAGTCGAAACGTATAGGTATATACAACCATAATCATTGTTAATTAAATACAGTGTTTGATATATGTGAGATAGTGTATAGTAGATCGCTTTATAATTTCAGAGAGATATTTTTCGTCCATGTCACCAGATCACTTAACGACGCGCGTTTCTACCATTTCAAAATCATCCAGCACAAAGTTTAAACACCACCACACACATGGTAACATGGACGCCATCTACCAATTTCTTTATTTAACAACAAAGCTATTGCTTTAATGAAATTTATCACACACACACATTTACGTAGTTGAAACAATTTCCCATTTCTACTTTTATACTATAGGAACTAAAGATCATTTAAAATAGACCTTAGGTGTTGAAATAACGTACTGGGTGTAATATATGTGGACCATTAAGTAATAAACCAATTACTTTTGGTACTTTTACAAATTTAACAGAATTTTGTAACTTAAGATATAAATGCGTTGTGCAAAAACGCGCACAACGCATTTTGTCAAATAAAAATTGTGATTGCGTTACCAAAAGATTATTATAACGTAAGCATTGTAAGGTATAAATAATTTTTTTGTGCATTATGTGTCTGTGGATGTGTTAAAGTTTCTATAAGAAAAAACAAATATGTCATGTTGCAGATTTAGAAATCTGATGGAGTCATATAGTCATATATATGTATATATTTTATTTATTGATTACCTTTGTAGTATTCTGACATTTTTTTTTATAGAATGAGGAAAACTAAACGTATCTACGTATTGCATTGTAGTTTACAAATTTATGCTGAAATGTCCAAATAACATTGATAATCTTTAACATACCTACTTATGTAGTATGTGGGCTTAAAAATCGTACTCAACACTGCCGTTTCTCTAAATGTTAGACGTTTATCTAAAATAATAAGAAAGTTCTTAAAATATTACTATGACGTGTACCATTAATTTTTCGAGTATTTTTCTGTAAACATTTTTCTTATATTTGATATTTAAGCAAGTTATGTGTACTATTTCTGTAATAAACGTAATAAACGAGTAGTTATACAATAAATATTATTATATTGTTTTCATGTTATCTAAACCCAGCCTGTTGTTTTGAACTCTCCTTCTGCAGGTGTCTTCTACTACTTAGATGTCAACGAAGCAAGTTTTACCATATTGTAAAACATCAATTTAATGATACAATTGTACAATTTACTGAGAGGATAATTTCAAATTATTCTTCGGCATTCATGTAAAAAGCTTTGTGTGTTCTTAACAGCAAAATCCACTCAGAACCGCCATTTTAGCAAGGGGTGGAACGGCAATGTCCGAAAAAAAACAGGCAGTACCTACCCATCATACTAAAAATTGGGCGTAATGCAATAAAGCTTTTTAAGCAGTATACCGATACCGTATAACATATATAATTGTAGTTCAAGAAACGTTTTACTAACGCGATATGATACCAATGGATCAAGTTGGCGTACCCTACTCCACACATGCATAGATTTCACATAGGTACGGGGCGGCTACCGTTTGGTTATCACAGGCATGTTAAAAATTAAAATGAACATTTTATTTTCAACAATTTTGTAATCTGCCAGGGTTGAGGGTTGCGTAGATAACTGGTCAATTGCATTTAGTCCGTCGTGCAAATAAGTTACACGGTTTGATCTCGTACAATCTCTTACAACGCCTAATTCGATAATTAAATACTCTCCCGTAAAATCTTGTTCTGTGTGAAATTCAAAACAATTATTGAAGATTTGCACATTTACTTTAACCAAAGAGTAACACTCTTTGCTTTAACCTCCATATTTTCCATATGCCTCTTCCTTATTCCTCGCGCGGCGAAGCAATTTCATCAAAAAGGGTAAATGTAAACATTAATTAAAAATTACAGTCTATTCAAATATACAACAACAACTACATCCTAACGATTTCTTTTGCGAGGTTTTTGGCAACAAGTAGTTTTTAATTAAAAAGACCCTTTAAACTCTCAATTTGTTTATTGTCAAGCTTCCCTATGTTCATTATTTAAGGATCAACGCCGAAAGTTGCCCAAGCGACGATGAGGTCCTGGAAAATGCATAACGAAAGTTGACTTGACCATACTGCAGCAACAGTAACTGTTTATCTACTGATTTAGACATTACCTTTTTATGAGTACTGTGGGTAATGTTTGGTTGAATACACTTCTATATAAAGATTCAATACTTAAGCCTATTATTTAAAAAAAAAATTGAGTAGTTAGATAAGAACACAATTTACACTATTTGAAGCTACATTAATAGGTACAATTTATTAAGATAAAGTGTACAACGAACAACGACAAAATTTTGATAAATTATAGTATATTAAGTATGGAGAACGGTAAGGGATTTTTACCGTTCGAAGACAATTGTTTGGAGGAGGAGCAAAGCGACGACTCCAATTATTGTCTGAGAACGGTAACCCTTAACGTTCGACGTACGTGCTTATAACATTTTTTGCGCGATCGAAATTAATATTATGCAATATAAATATGCACTAAGAAATTAACGAGTGTTTGATTCACATGTTGAATTATTTTGATTGATCTAAAATAGAAAAATTCAACTTAATGTAAGTACTTAGGTACTGATGAGATTGGAAGGAGCTTACATGTTGCAAAATGTCACATCTGATAGCAGGTGCTATGGGTCTATTAGTGCAAATTCTGCCTCATAAGTCATAAGTAATAACAAAAAAAAGATATGATAGCAATTGTGTTTGCAAGTGATGAATTTCAAACATACTTTTATGGTCGTGAAACAGAAATGAATACTGACGAAGATCATAGCCCTTTAGGTAGTAGGTATGTATAATTGACAAAGGAAGACCACCGAGACCATTTACTTTGGTTTTACTAATTATATTATGACTTTATAATGAACAGGAATCAAACGATATACCCGTATGGATCTACCCTCTACTTCCAAACAAATTTAATTAACCTACAGTCTGTGAATGGAGGGATCAAAATGTTAAATGAAAAAATTCTAATGCAATAAACAAGTTTCAAAAGATAAAACAGTAGGTATATTACACCAATTTCATCAGCAGACTTGACAAATAAGAGATACAAGTCCAGAGTCTATTCGAGTTACCGATTATTTTGATAATTTCAAAAATAATTTCGTATTTTTAGTAAATTATTGAATTGAATTTGTTTTGTTTCGAGTTTTTTAAGTTTGTATCGAGTATTTGTTTGTTACTGCACGATGGGTTTTGGCATTCAAATGCGTGTTACTGTACTTTTTCTGTTTTCATACATCTTCGTCTAAATATTTTGTGTTACCTGAACATAAGTAACTTCTTGAGATACTGTTATTATCAAACTAGCTGTAAGTAATTTTTGAATATCTTATTTGCTGGTTGGACAACATTTCTCTGCTTCCACTCTTGAATGCGGAGAAATGGAATTTGAATCCTGTTCTGAAGAAGAATCGAAAGTTAATGGTCCTAAGACGCTAGAACCTAATCAATAAGGAAGATAGGGAACAACTCAAAAATTCCGAAAGCCAAAATAAGACGAAAGAACATATTACATCAAAAGTTAAAATTTCGGACGGAAAAAAATAACAAAAATTTGCTGTTATAGTCAACACCTTATTCCGGATCATGGAAATAAATCATTTACTGTTGACAATAAGCGACAGTTAAGAATGTTGTTACCGACACACAAAAAGTCCTATAATTTTTGCTAAAAGAGTACGATTTTCTATTTTCAGAGCGATTTGTATTCTACAGGTCAAAATCTAAAAGAATTGCCGATATACGTTAACATATAGCCTCGGCACTATAATGAAAAAAAAAACCGCATTAAAAGCCCTATAATTGTTGCTAGAATAGTACGATTTTAGGCATTCCTTCGCTTTCCACCATGCCGTAAACATGTGAAGGCTCTAACCTTTGTTTTTCGAATTTAAATAGTCTACTTTCAAAATTACTTACTTCAACAATGATTTCACATTTTTTAACTCGTGCAATTTTTCGATTTCAATTTTTATATAATCTCTGGATGCCTGCCTATATTTAGGAAGCCTCTCCAATTTAATAGCCCTTAGATCGGAGTTTCAATGTATTCGTCCACAACTTTTATGCTTAAAACGCAACCCATGCAAATTTACATTTACCTATAAAACCAAAACTTAATTTACTATCCGTTTTCAACGTTCAAAATTTGCTCCCATCTTCAACGTTTAAATTGGCTCCGTCTTGACTCTTGAACGCTTCAACGGTGCCTTTAACTTTAATCTTAATTGCACAACTACTTGATAATGGCGAAACTAGTTGTAACATTGTTTCATAACTAAAGTTTCATGGGGAAGGTTTCGTGTCAACTTTAAACAAACTTTATTCATCCCATTCTAGAAAAAGTAAAAAACCGTATTATAACGGGAAAAAAATTCCCAGAAAGCGCTATAATTTTCGCTAGAAGATCACGATTTTCAATTTTTTGGGCGATTTAGTCTGCAGGTCAAAATCGAATAGAATTTCCGATATACGTTAAGATAGCCTCGGAACGTGAAAAGTTAATACATAGCGATCAAAAATGAGTGACCGTCGAGTCACCTTTGGAATTTTTGTTTACATGGGACATCGTGCTTAACTCGAACTTCCAAAGGCGACTCGACAGTCACTCATTTTTGATCGCCCGATAGGTGGAAAATCGTGTTATAATGATAAAAAAAACCGCTATAAGATTTCCTAGAATTGTACGATTTTCAATTTTCTGGGCGATTTGTATTCTGCAGGTCAAAATCGAATAGAATTTCCGATATACGTTAAGATAGCATCGGAACATGAAAAGTTATAGGTGAAAAACACAAAAAGCCCTATAATATTTGCTAGATTCTACACGACAAAATGTGGATATACGTAAAGATCGCTTCGGCACGAGAAAAGTTATAGGCGAAAAACCGTATTATAATGAAAAAAACCCACAAAAAGTGGGTGAATATTAAAACTTATCGTTCAAATTGGGGAATTAAGAAAATCTTGTGCTAAAAAGGATAGAGAGATTAATCAATTAAACGAAAATAGCATAACAACAGCACCGGTAACCGGTAGTACAAAATGATGCTCAAATAGCGGGATCAAGAAATGTGGATCGAGATACAAACATCAACAGTTAAACTGTGCAGTAGTTTCGGAACCAAAAGTAAATTGCGCTTAATGAAAAATATCGGCATCAGAATTCAATAAAGTATTAAAGGAAAAAATCAGTCCAATTGATCATAGTGTACAAATTTATTAAGTTGTTAATAATTCGAAGGGTAGACAAAAATGTAAGCAAGGAAGAGATAATGGGCGGAATTGAAAAATTTAAGGAAAGCATAAGGGAAATATTTATAAAATGAGGAAAAGACTTAAATCCTTTTGTAGAAATCATCTTTGAGGTGCGCCCTGAACTCCGAAAAATAATTGTACGAAAAAATATATGGTTGGGATGGAGTTCACATCTGGTAGAGGACCTCTCTTATGATGTGGTATAAATACTGGGGAACTGGGCACATGTTAAAACACTGCAGGGAAATGGAAGAAACCTGTGGTAGATGCGGAAAAAAGGTAGTACAAAATGATGCTCAAATAGCGGGATCAAGAAATGTGGATCGAGATACAAACATCAACAGTTAAACTGTGCAGTAGTTTCGGAACCAAAAGTAAATTGCGCTTAATGAAAAATATCGGCATCAGAATTCAATAAAGTATTAAAGGAAAAAATCAGTCCAATTGATCATAGTGTACAAATTTATTAAGTTGTTAATAATTCGAAGGGTAGACAAAAATGTAAGCAAGGAAGAGATAATGGGCGGAATTGAAAAATTTAAGGAAAGCATAAGGGAAATATTTATAAAATGAGGAAAAGACTTAAATCCTTTTGTAGAAATCATCTTTGAGGTGCGCCCTGAACTCCGAAAAATAATTGTACGAAAAAATATATGGTTGGGATGGAGTTCACATCTGGTAGAGGACCTCTCTTATGATGTGGTATAAATACTGGGGAACTGGGCACATGTTAAAACACTGCAGGGAAATGGAAGAAACCTGTGGTAGATGCGGAAAAAAGGACCATCGCATATAGGTATGATTGCAGAGCTACAAAACAGTGCTGCCCCATGTGCGAAAAATATAATGTATCTAATAATAAAGCAATTTTAAATACGGATTGCTTTTGCACATGAATGGAAACCCAATTAAAAGGTTTAGAAAATAGAATTCATTGAGAGAAAAACCAAATTTTGATCATGAAAATTTAGGGAAAGACAAGGCGGCTACTAACAACTTGGAAAGTGATAAAAAAAGAAAATAAACAATATATGTTTAATTCAGGAACCATTGTGAGATTTTATTCAAGATTCGGTATAATTAAAACATCCATTTTGATCGAAAATGAAACATTCAAATCATGTATATATAATTTATGAAAATTTAGAAGTAACCGCAACTGTAATGAAGCAACAAATAATTTAATTACAGTACAGTGCAAATGAACAAATTAGAATTGAATGCAGCAAAATCCGAGGCGAAACATCAAAGCAATTGAATTGGAAACCACACGCATTAATTCTGTTGCTGCGAAATGCAAAAAAAATTGTGGACAAATCTTAACCGGGACGCTGTTAAATTAAATTGGGGAGTAAAACGTAAAATTCTAAAAATTATTTATGAAGGCACTATCGTACCTGTTCTGGAGCAGAACTTTTGGAACGAGAGAATGAAAATGACGGAAAACGAATATGATTAGGTTGTCAAAGATGAATATCCATAGAAATTGCAAGACTGGTCTGTTTCTACGAAAGCTACTTGGATTTTAGCGAATATAAAATCTTTAGATTGGAGCAGATGAAATGGTTGTATGACGTGCAAAAGTTTTTATTGATAACATCAATTAAAAACTTTTGCACGTCATACAACCATTTCATCTGCTCCAATTTACATTACGTGCACACAGCCGTTCGTTACATAAAATCTTTAGATTTAGAAGTTTATGAATTTCTACGTTTTCATTTGTTCGGTAATTATTTAAATTTATACTCTGTGAAAACACTATTTGTTAAATAGTTAGTTACTTTTCTTTCTTACTCAACTTATGTTCCCTTTAGATATTTTAATTTTTAGTCAACATTTTCCTTACGATCCCGGATATATACAAATTATTGTAATGTCGGTAATTTCAAATAAAATTGTGTTGTGGTTTGTGTTTATCTGTCTATGAACACTTTAACTAGCAAACGCTTGGACCGATTCGGTTCAAACTTGGCACAATTGACCTATACGTCAAAACGGGCCGAATCCGATGACCCCGTATAGAATAGGGTCACACCGCTTTTCTAAATCCGCTTTATATCATAAAGTAATTAGTTTGGGAAGATTTTATTTTGCTTATAATAAATTATCACAATGTTTATTGATTAAGAATAGTATCGGGCAAAAACAAATAATAAGTAAATCTTCATACTTTAAATCAAGAGTACCTATTTCGTGCTTACCTACTTGTTTATTAACAAACATAAATTTCGCTATGAGGGTACTTACCATCCATTGGAAACACTTATTTTTGACACCCAGTGTGAGCGATTGCTTCACAGTTTAGACCTTTTATTACAATTATTCTTATTTTACTAGTATACAATGGAAGCCATATTTGGATAACAGTTCACACAAATATAGACTTCCTGTGCAATAAATAATAAACCTCTTTGGCACAACATAACAGAACTAAAGGAATTAGGTGCAAGATAGCTAAAGATCGGTGGAACTGACGTTTATGGTGACGTTATTAGGCGAGTTTTCCGTTCTTAAAATTGTACTCGATATTTCATTACTTTCAATCCATTTTGCGACTTCCAGTGGTAGTTTTGGTTTTACTTGACTAGCGTCGACTCCAGTTTTCTCTAGCAACTCCTTCATTACGTCAGCTACGGTACAATTCAGAAAACGTATCTTTACCAACGCAATTGCATTCACAAAATTGTCGTGAAGGTTTACAAAGCGATGCTCCATGAAGACGTCCTGTTCGTTCCAGTAGACAACCTAAAAGGTAAATTTTAATTATGCGGCTTGGAACGCGTGCTAATCAACGAATCCGCTAGGTGCTAGTAAGCTCGTCCACTATTAGCAAAGAGTATGTATACTCTTTGCTATTAGCTAGCAGGGGCGAAATTCTACTCACTTTAGTTTTGATTATGTATCTTTGAAATAATCTTAAAAATCTCCTATATCGCATCGTGGTTGCGCCTAAAGCAAATGCACCTTTTTTATTCCTAATGCACTGAAACAACCCTGTTCTCTCGTAAAAGTCGGCCCTAGCAAAGTCCAATTCTCGTATAAAGCGTGCATTATTCATATGATATAAAAAGGTGTCCACGTCAGTTGTGAGGCAGATACCTGCAACAAATGCCTAATGATTATGAGAAGATTTCGCAGTACATCGTGTATGACAGTCAGTGATAAAAATTCACTTTAAAGGATATGGCACTTGAAGTATGAAATTGTTTGGTGAAGTTGTACTTTGGTGGAGTCCAATTCAGCTGTGAGTATGGATGTGTGATGGTCGTGGGTTCGGTTGCTGGAGCATTCTTGGTTGACAACCCAGTATCATATTTTGACTGTGTGAAAGGCCATTGCACCCTTGCTCTCCCCCTAAAGCGCCACTAATAGTGACACATTTTAATACTTAATTGGGAATTGCACTAAAAGTGACACTCAATTTTCTAGCATGCAAGGAAAAATTTCTCTCACTTTTCTATGATTATTATAGCATTGAATAAGTAATTATAGTAAGAAGTATAACGGATACCGTTAATTTGTTCGCATTTCCAGTATTTTCTTTCAATTTAGACTATGCTGATTTAAAAAACTCGGTGGAGGAATTTTACGTCCCTCAAAGTTGGGTCAACTTTTTAGGGAAGCGTTCGGAAGGCCACCGAATTAGTTGGCACTTACTTGCCGGTCGAAATCTTCGTGTATTTTTGCAATTTCCACCATACCTAGCGGCGATGTAACGTGAGTCAATACTGTTCACATTGTTTATTTTCTTTAAATTGTATTGTATTAGACATGGTGACTCGCGCGGAAAGGAACAACATTTTACTACGTGTTTCATAGACTAGTCCAAAATGTCCTATCCGCAAATTCTCGTTATAGAGTGTTGCCTTTTTTCATATAATACTATTAATGAGACGTACTCACGTTCACCACCATACCTACTGTTGGAAAATAATTTTACTTTAACGAAAAAATAATACTTTATGAAAATTAATGTTTCCAATTTCTGTGAAACTGAAGCAACTACTGTGTCAAAATAATAAACGACACACTATCTACTTCATGTGGTCAGAAGGTCTCATTAAATTGAAAAAAATCATATCTTGATAACGAAGCATTTGCGGAGCATCTAAGGAGCACGTAGTAAAATGTTGTCCTTTTCCCCGCGGAACGCCCAGTTCTATTCGTCAAGGTTTTACTGTGCAACCCATTTCGTAAGAAAAGTTTTTAATTTTCGCTTCAGTATCATTGATTAAAATAACTAACAACTGGAACCTTCAACATTGGAAAATGAATAAGGAAGTACCAACTAAATAATTTATAAACAATGGCTACCACATAAGTTGAATGTTTCTCATTCTACGCTAGAACAAATTTTCTTTCATTAACATACATTAATTAAGTGTAATAATTTCTACAGTTTTCTGGAGAAATCAAAATAAAGATAAGTGCTTCCGCATAGTCGGATAATCTACATTTCGATTTCCTGGACGCATTGCAATAATATTATCGAACATTGAACATTTGAACATGATTTCTGCTCGTTTCAAAACTTAATCCAACAAACACTAGTACAGAATCATCTCTTCAAAAATCATACTCTGACATAGTTCTACGTATTTCCTTCTGAGTAGAATCTCATCTCCTGACTATTGTAAACTGGTTGTGACCTATGAACTATGATATGCTGTGCTCGTGAGTTGCCCTGACCTCAACCTTGCGTGACCATTAAAGACGAAATGAAATCAAGATAACTTTGTTCCAAGTAAATTACTGGAAGTACCCCACTACAACAATTTCTGCACAGTGGGGAATTTCATATCAAACTGGAAACGTTGGAACTGTCACGTTTGTCTAAAAATGAAAAAAATGCAAACAATATATGATTACAAAGCGTGATAGAATGATGCAAAACCTTGCTGAACCCGTATGAAATAAATCCAGTTGTGAAATCGATAGTGCGGAAGTAACTGAAAATCATTGCCAAGCACTCTTACCTTGTACTGTTGTTTCTTGCAAAATAGAAATTTTTGGTTTACATAGACGTGCCATAATTACACTTAGTGATATTCTCAAAAAATAGTGCACTTCTAAACATAAATGCAACAAAACTATTAGCACTAATATAACAGCAACGATATCACAGAACATTGTATTATTAAGTCGACTGGTTGACTTGATGGGAATTTATTTGATCAACTCCATCGTAGCTACACAAACGAAAGCCATAGCTCTAGGTCTAGCTGAAATAAGGAGATGTCAGAATTCACCTAAAATCGATCCTGTGAACGCTTGCGTATGACATCTGCATTTACGTACCCGTTAAGATTGTGCAAGTTCCGTTGTAAAGTAGATACAATATTCAAATGTGATGAGCAAAAAACGCTTTATTCACTTGCCTTATTACAATAAAAAGAATAGTAATGTAGTGTGGTAACATTACATGTGAACTACCTTGATATCAGGAGTAACGTATACAACGTTTAATTACATTTTGAGTTCATAAATACATGAGATGAGAGCCGCTGAAATTGCAAAGCCCTTAAATAATTAGCAACAATTAAAAATAATAAACAATTTTCTTGTAATTTCTACCAGGCTAGCAGAGGTTGATGGAGATGCATATAACTTTAATCAAAGAGTACCCTACTAGCAAATTATAAGTTTATAACATTGTTCTGAACAAAATACAAATCTGTATAGTTGGTTCTATAAGCTCAGGGAATCTCATAAAGTAACAAATGAATTATTGCAAAATTGATAACTTTCTCTACAGTAGGACTTGTAGGAAAAGAGAGCAATCTTATCGTACGAATTCTGGATATATCAAATAAAAGTAACAAGAGTCATAGGTATGTAATAATTATAAGCTATCCGATGCTGACAATTGTTTTTGCGTTAAATTGGTCCCCATAATGCAATTAAAATAACTATCTTGGAAAAAAAACAGTCATAATACCTCAAACATACAGAGAAATTACATTGAATCCACTAACGACTCGGAGATTTGTCGATCTGCAGTTGTTCAGTCGCCTCTTACGACACGCAGTGCCCTCTGCGGTAAGGCTATTCTTTCCCGACCTTACACGGGTATTGACAAATGAATTTAACGTAATTTTATAAAATGGTGGTGGTAATCCAAAAACAAAATCACTTATTAATTTAAGGTAAAGAACCTTATTCGGGCGTTATTGTAGCGAACATTTCAGAAAGACATCGAGGCGCCATGAAAGATTAGTCATCGACGATAAAGAGCAAAGACGCTAGAAAAATTAATTGACGTTTGCTATATAAACGGGTCGAGTTGTGTTTCAGTGAGTTCCTACATCGATGCGTTCTTGTTAGGTTATAAATTGTGAGCGATAAATTGTATTTACCTACTGTTGTAAATTAATCCATTTTAAGACTGTTGTAAATTTATTGTTAATTAACATTGGTGCATAAACCATGTAATTAAATTTACGTTACACTGGTTCAGGTGTGTGTTAAGTGGACAATTAGTAAAAGTTTATGCCGATAGTGACCAGATGTGCTTAAAAAAATGAAACAACTGCTGCACTTGATGCAAGAAATGAAAACTGAAATAAAAGTCGATCAAGATGTAATGAAAGCGGGTAATCAAACCATGGAAGCTAAATTCGGATCTGGTCAAGCTGAAACAAAGGCCGTTCGACAATCAATGGAAGCTAAAATCGAATCCGGTCAACAAGCCATGAAACCTAAAATAGAAGCATGTCAAGAGGCATGATTCAAGATGAGATACAGGGCGTCCAAGATAATGTTCATACGGTAGACACCGATAAATAGTAGGTATTAACTGAAGAACGCGAAAAGAGTGATGTGCCATTTGTGATGACACAAGATCTACTTACTGTTCCACATTCGGTCCGCAAAGAAGCCGCCGAAACATGTGAGGATATTGGTACGACGAAGGTTCGAGTTAAGCCACCGACATTCGCTGGAAAATCATTGTGGTCCGCCTACTTAAGCCAGTTCTAAGGCCGCCGCAGATACAAATAGGTGGTCAGAGGAAGAGAAGGCAACTACTTAAGAGAAGCATTGGATGTTTTCCGTACGATACCAGAACACAAGCAAAAGGAGTTCGAGCAAATTGTATCACGGTTGGAAGTTCGATATGGAGACGGAGACACACAGTTGCAGCAGGTGTATTACGCCCAATTAAAGAACCGAACAAAAAAATCGGGCGCAACGTTGTAATGAGTCGAAGCCGATATATCCCGGTTATTAAGATTGGCATATCCTACGGCCCTGAAAGCTTTAAGTATAGAGCAGCTGGCGGGGCACACGTTTATCAATGGTGGTCGCGATTTGAAAGTACACTCTGCATTTTTCTATGAAGTGTTCCATCTTGAGTATATATTGATAAAGTAGTAAAGAATTTTCATGTAGGTACTCAAGTAAAATTTTACTTGAGTACATGAAAATTCTTTACTACTTTACACTCTTTGCCTCTTGCTCACAAGCGGCTTAACGAATTTTTTTGATATTTAGTTAGTTCGTTATGGTGTCAAGGCTTGCACTAAGGATTGAATTTCTTCGCGTTAAAAAAGTTATAGTAAAACATCAATTTTTTTCATGTAGGTACCATAATTTTACATTTTTGCCGTTTATTGTGCTTAGGGCCTGATCTGCATATTTTGCGCCTATGCGCACCTCAAAATCGCCGCCAACCAAAATTTGTTTCCAGAAATATGCAATATTTTTTACTCTACAAAAAAGTGTTAATATGATTTTCTTTCTAAAATAAAATAACCGTTTTATTTTTGGAGAAATATATTTTTAGTAATCTTTCCGCATCAACAGGAGGTGATGGGGATTTATCTAATTTTACTTTGAAGAATATATTTACGTTTCAATTTGAATAACGTATTTCAAGTTTATTTTACAGTTTAAACAAAGAAATCCAATATAAAAACATTAAGAAAAATGGCTAGGCCTCCCCTTAATTTCGGGTTTTCAACAAAAAAATTTGCCACTATGGTGTCCGGGCCCGTATAGCCCCAAGCTAAATCCCGTCCTGATTGTGCTTATACAATTTGTATGCTTCTTATAAAATCAAAGACGTGTTGGGTTGTGTAATGTGCAAGCGCCGTGCTAATGCTTTCTTATTTGTAGATGGATTTTTGTTTGTTAAATGGCTGAAAACAAATTTGGCTGGAGTAACTAATTTTTTCGGACAAAAGGCTGTTAATAATCTATGAACTTTAAAGCCATTATCCATTTTTATATAATATAGGGGATTTACGATAATTCGACCGGTTTAACCTGCTTGGTAGATTTTGCTATGGTTACAATTATTGGGACAATTGTTTCTATGGTGATTTCTACCAACCCGGTTTAAACGGTTGAATTATCGTAAATCTCCATAGATACACGTTCGCAAAACTGTCGATTCGTCTTCTACTCCAAGCTGAAAACTCAAACATATTGTGAAAGTGAAACAGGCGTTGTTTTGTGTGCATTTATTATCTTTTTGGCACTAAATACGTACATATTCACAGTTCATAGGTACAGTCACGTACAAAATTAGTGATCTTCATTCTTCTGATTCCTCAATAATTTATGTTTTTGTATTACGTGGTTATTAGCTTTACAACTTTATGGATACCCAGGTAACCCATTGGAACCTGTGCTGCAGTGAACCCTGCGAGAATCAGTAATTTTGTTCGTCAAATAACATTTAAGGTAGAAAGGTACATAAGGCTATATCAGATCATAAATAGATATTTATACAATTATACAGTCTTCAAGCATTTGGCTCGTAAGATTGGTATGTGTAAGATGATCGTTTATGTTTCACTGTACAAAACAATAACATGGAGGATATCAATCCAAATAACTAGAAAATCAAACGGTAATTAATTCGTAATTAATTTGCTGTGGAAAAATTACCTGTACAAACGCCACCACCAAACCAACCACACCGACTATGTGTAGCCTTTGAATGAACCACATCTGAATTTGTTCGAAGCAACCCTTCGGATACCAATCTTCGCTATTTTGAGTATGTCCGCAAGGCTGAGTTTCCGTTTGATTTAAATACGCTGCAGGTAAACAACACGATTCGGGTACCCATCGTTCGTCCACCCAAGCATCTATACCGTACCAATCTTCGTAGTTTTTCACACCGCAGCAATGAACCTACAAATTAAATTTTGAAGTTGTAGAATCTAAGATTTTTCTTTAGGTAACATAAAATTTATTTTACTACAATCGTACATCTTTTTTGAATATAGCAAGTGGTACATAGGGGGGTACATAAGGTATACATAATAGCAACATGAAATACCTTTTCCATTACAAAGAATTAAAACAGTGTCGTATACCACAAAAACCTTGTGTACCTATATAAAAAATCTACGTCACTGACCTCTACGTAAAATATGCAAAAATTTCCCTTGTACCGCGTTTTATATCTCAGGTAGTTTCAGCAACTATCCAATTTTATTTCGGACATGTCGAGGCTGGATACCACTAAGCCACCCTCTATTTATTCATTATTTTATGGTTTAGATGTAGCTCAGTGCTACAATACAAGTGATTTGCAACATCAATTGCAACAACTTTCCAACTTCAAACGTGAAAAAGCGAGTGCAAAAGTATGCAAACGATGCTGAGACAAAATTTAGACAACAACGAATTACAATTTCTAAATTTACTCTACTTTAGTTTTCGACAATGATTATATAAGGTACTACTCCTAACTTAATGGCGCAAATTTTAATATATGTATAAGATAATATAATGTTAATATTATTCATCTGTGATAATATGAAAAATGTTATATAACAACAAACGACCACGAAAAACGAAACTCTCCTATTATAAATTATATACCTATAGAGTAGCACTAGAGTATAATAAGAAATTTGCTAATTCGTAATTATGCAAGCAGTCACAAGTACAAAAGTTTCAGGTGTTTGTTAAAAATTAAAAATTTGGTGGCACCTTAGAAATTATTCTATTTGTCAATAATTTGCCATTCATTTCATATGCAGACAGTAAACAATTTAATGCAAATTAGAAACCTTCGCGTTTCTTATCATTTGCCGTCTTTATAGCCCAGTTAGTGGATTTTATTATTTCTCATTAGCTACCTCAGATTGAAGTTGGTCCCAAATTGTCACCAAACTGTACGGTCCACTGGCGGTAATGTTATAGTGATGCTGTAATCCATATTGCAGTTCCTGCTGCAGAATATGGCCAAGTTTTTCACGAAATACGAACGCCAAGGATCCCATTATAAATTCGGCGACGAATATAAAGACTACCAAACTGAAATACTAATTGCTGATTATAATTCGATAGGTTTATCGTCACTGATCCGTACTGTTATTAACATCCAACGGCTTTGAAACCATGAGCCGCAACATCCACAAAAGGCGAGAATAAACGCTATTGTACCCACGGCAATTGCTAATGAATCCGCTCCAAGTAATGCATATTCAGGTAACAAAGTCGCATATCCCTCGTAGGCTATTCGTAGCCATAAACCGACGCCGAGTATTCCGCATCCTGTTATCTGTATGGGAAATTATTCTGATTAATATTAATTCGCCGCGCCGCTTTAAACAACACATCCTTTTATTTTAAAAGATTTTATGTGTGGGAACTCGAAGGGTACTTGATTGAATTGAAAACACTCACCCATAGAATTACGTTCAACCAGCAAAAAATGTAGCGTACACAAGTGTATCCGCTTTTTGACATCTTCTATACGCACGTCGCACCGAAATTCGATCTGGAAATTTTCAAAAAATTAGTTCCATTTGAATCTGGCAGATGTCTCTGGTTAAGACGGTGCCCAAACGTACCTAACAAACACGCGCCGCGTTCCCGACTGATTTTATAAATAAAATTCGCGCACTTAGAGATCAAAAGGTCAAAGTATAATCATTACTTACGAGTATAATATTTCATGTTTATCAGATTCATTGAATTTAAATTACGTTGACCAACTTTGTCTTTTACAATTTTTTGCGCAGCAATGTGGAGCAAATGGCCCAATTGACATTTGCTTATCTCCTACTAAACTAACACCCTTATCGGTAACATAACCGTTTGTATGTGAGTTCTGTTTAATTTCAACATGAGTACTAAAAAATGTTAATAACAAGATAATTTTTTTCAAAAAAACGCGGAAATGTCAACGCGACCTTTAATTCGCTCCGGCCTTCACCGAGTATTTTACACAAAAACGTACAAGTAGGTTTTTGCTGCTTATGAAAACGGGTCAAAAGGTATTTAAATACCTACACACCTTTTGTCAAGTTAACGGTTTAAATCCAATGGCGCATCTGTGCACATTTACACTTAATATAAAATCACATCGTACACGAAGACACTTTAACTACTTGCGGCCTTTAACGTAATTTCTGAATGAATGAACGTGCGTAAATACGGCGCAATGTAATGGAATGAACACGATAAACCCGTTCAAGTTGACCCAAAAGAATATAAATCCATGTTTAAACGTCCCACTCAAATTGTGCGCGTACCTTCATCGTACGCTTCCGCGCGCTCTCGTATCGCGGTAATAGACACTTAAAAACTATTTAAAATTATTGGAGCGGTAACTGTTGTTGATATTTGATAACTATAATTGAGATTTTTAATTAGCGGTTATTGAATTTAACCTCTTAATAGGGCAAAGCGATAGCTAATTACGACACGGTTGACATCTCAAATGTTCAAGGCGCGTTCCGCCATTGGCGGTAACTTTACCTTGTTTGCTTAGTCAAGCGCGTGATCTTCGAGAAAAGAATACTAAAAAAAAAATTTGGAAGCTATGACAAATACAGGAAATACTCCGCCGCACGAATATTACGAAATTATTTATTCGTGGAACGTCTCCAGATTTTGAATATTTCCATTCTTTGCGTGGCATTTTAGTAGGTAGTTTGTAGCTTTATTTATCACAAATAATAAGTGTAATTTTCGAACGCGATATAGTCCGCGAATTTAGCAATCAATGTTGTACCTTACCGCAAAATGTTGTAGTTCAACATACGGTTCTTGCATTCAAATTCAAATTCCTTAAAAAACAATCACAACACTTCTTCATTTCCTTCATGTTCCATTCAACATTATCATTTTCCCTGACTGCCTCGACAAGATGCACTTTCTGGTGTATTTTCAGATCAGTGACTTTTGAACATTGCATTCATTTTTCATTTCCAACTTTAAACTTGAAAATTTTGTATTCTCAACCTATCGTTCTCCTCCTCAATTAAAAATGAGGTTATAATATTGCGGTAATGCACGTTTTGAAGCTCCAGTAATTCGAATCAAGCAAAGAACTGGCGATTGCGTGGTACCTACTGTACAATTACACCCCTGGCTGCAATTTTGAGAAGTTTTGGTGAGACATGTATAGCAATCCTCGTTTGCGGGGGTTGTAAGTGTTATAGTATATCGATTCTTTCTGTTTTAAGATGGATTAGATTTAAATGATGTATAAACAACCACCCAAATAATAATCCTTTCCAGATTAAAATTACGTAATTTTTTACTTCTATAGTAGGTAATGCTCGCTTGTAGGGGTTGTAACATTTGTAGTACACGTATATTATTATTTTTTGCTTTGATAGATTATGTTTAAATGATCCATAAACAAATGCACTCTAAAAATAAAGTTATTTTTCGGATTAAAATTACGTAATTTTTTAGGAATTTCACAGATACACCGCATATTTTTATTTCTTTGGTAGATTACGATTAAGTAATCTATAACTAACACTGCAATTGACATAAATAAAAATAAAGATAGTCATCTTTCTTGAAATGTATGTAATTTTCTAGAAAACTCGTCATTTTTTAGAAAACTTTAGATGCATTGATTCATCAAGTCAAGTAGCTTGATGATTTTCCAGATTACATTACTCGATATCAACTCATTTCAAACTACTTGATTGATTACTTGATATAGGTAAATATTTTAAGAGCAAAGGTAAAAGCCATCTATGTATACTGTATACTAATCGAAACGGAGTAGAATACAAAATCTGGCAACCTAGTTTCATTTCAAAAAGGACATGCAGATTTGTTACTTCGTAGCTGCTCCGCAGTTGGTGGAATCGTGCAATAGTACACGACTCTTCATAAATTCAAGCAGCTTGACGAACTAATTAACATTTCAAGTAACTGGACATATGAACACTCTTCCCCTGACTTAACAGCCAATTTCCACTATATGATTTGAGCTTGACTTGAATTCAAGTCGATTTAAGTAAAGTAGCTTGATAACCCAGTAGTGATCTGCAGCTTGTTTGGAGGCCACAGATGACTTATGTATATTTTCAGACGCCTAGGTCGCTGAAAAGGTGTCAGACGCATCCAAACTCATTTTTTTAAAGTTCGTAAGTATAGGTAAGAATGTTCAAGTGCTAAAGAATAATTTCGCCTGAAATTCTAAAATAGCTCTGGCTCGTCTGTGAATACCATTCGATTTGGTTACATACTAACGTACCTGAAGACAATTTCAACTACATATTTAAAGCACGGAAGCACCGCTGTAAAATGGCACCTGCAGAATTGCGAACTTGAAGCCTAGATTACACTGAATATTGTTTCAACATTGTTTTAAAAATTTATTGAGTAAAGCGTCACGATAATTCGGAATAATCATGTAATTCCCTTCATCAAAGTTTGTGTTAAGAGAATTTCGACATTTGCTTTCATTATGGATCTCGACCTATAAGTGAAAACGCAACAGGAACAATATAGAGGAAGTATAAAACCTTACTTCTTCTGGATGGGGTACAAGAAAAATTTATTTGGATAGCAATGGCAACCTTTTTGTTAACTCATCGCTTACATTTAGCTTTATAATTGTCTTCGTTTCCTTATAATTTCAGATTGGCCATTTATATTCACTTTGGATTTCTACCCAAGAGCAATATAGACGAGGTGGAATATCCCTTATTTCAAATAAAATTTTCTTGCAGATTATTTACATTTTTTAAATCTGAAAGCCTTACCAATTTGGATGTCCTTTTTGATCATATAATGCCCTCATATTCGTGGCCCTGTTCGTGGCGGACGTAAATAAAATTTTATTCAAAAATGAATATTTATTGAGTGTCCTAAAATCGCAATTAAACATCTTCTGTTGGGTAGTAAAATCTCAATTAGAATTAGAATGAACTAGTTACTAGAGCAATACATATTTCTCCCTCAGTGATTTGTAGGTTTTGTACTTCCAATGAGATTACCTTGATATCTCGAGCCGGTCAAGTCCAAAAACTTGATTTTGGCATAAATTAACCTAAACTTGAAAGCTATTTAGAAAATCCTTAACAGAAAAAGATTACTTGTTTATGATTTTCCAAATTCCTAGGTTATCATATTTTGTTACCGTTTGATTTATTGTTGTGACTTAAATAATTATGGCTTGACTTAGGTAAAGCTTAAAATAAAATTCTTGGCGATAGGAACAAAAAGTTAAAATTTACCTGATAGATGATCAAATTTAATTGCGCCACATTCGCAATATTACATAAAAAAATATGTCATGTCAGTCAAGCATGTATCTGCCACACTGCCTTATAATTGGTTTGATAACTCCTGTGGCCGGTGGATACGGGGTTCCTGCTAAAGTGGGACGAATAGTCCCATGCCCGTCCCGTAGGTCGTAGAAAGCGGCCAATGGATTTCTAATGGGAAAATGGCATCGGAGAGAGTTGAGTGTTGTCTCAACACATTATTTTTGCTTTTGCATCACAGTAGACGGTCCTTACGTATCGTTACTTCTCCTTTTTCTATTGTTTTTGTTTAGGGCGCCGCGCCGATCGTTCAGAAAAAAATTAAGCAAAAGATTGTCCTACGATAAATAGTTTCAATTCTATCCTCCAAAATTATTTAAATTTTTTGTCATCAGCGTCTTGTTTTTCGTTTAATTCGAGAACTTTTTACTTTACAACCCTGGTCATTTCAAGTGGACAATCGAATTTTTCTCAAAAGTACCCGTGCACCAAATTTCAACACAATCGGTCGAGAAAACAAAACTATAAAGGATCTGAGGATCCTAAATACATGATTGATTTTATGTAAATTATGACATCAATGCGTATAAAAAGATGTCACATTTTTGTGAATATACACTGGTACACCAGTAATAATTGTAATCTTCCAAAATTATAAGAAAATTTCTTTAACCTTCACTTTACGACATAGGTGTATCTTACCATTTCTGCAAAAACATTAAAAGCGTCAACGAACTCGTATAATCCAAACCACGTCGCTGCCAAATACCAATTCAAACCAGATGCAAAGTATTCTAAGAACTCAGATATTGGAATATTGTTTGGCTACGTTAAAGCATTTAAATTGTTATGGGCTTGAGGTTGCTCTGGATTGAAATGGCATTTGTTTGTATGTAAACCATCATCGCGAGGTTTGTGATGTCTGAATAAATTTGTTGTTATTACGAATGACGGCAGGTAAGCTTTTATAGAGATTTTAATTATATTTCTTTTACGAATCTATTTTTAGTTATACTATATAAACAAACTCGAGCGCTGTTGAAGTCTTACTCTTCCATGAGGATTGCGCAAAAGATCATATGAGTATGCGGATAGTAAATAGTCCTTTGTGAACTCTAACAAGTTCCAAAAGTAATCGCGAACGATTTACAAAAAGCGCATTTCCACAATAATAGTCTTTTTTTCCGAAAAAATTAGAGTTAGACAAGTTCCGTTCAGCCATTTAACCAAAATGATGACGATTGACAAACAGCAGAAAAAATTCCTTCTTTGGTGCAAGTCTTGCCACCATAACGAACTCATAGTAAAAGTAAAACAATAGCTCTTACGATAAATATCTACTAGCGACACAGCCGTAGGGACGGACAGACGCATTTTTGTAATCTTTGTGGAAATGCGTTAAAAAGACATTTATCACTAAATTTGGCCACAAAATGATGATAGCGATAGCAGGATAAATGAAGATTCTACGGCTGATGCACATAAATTTATAGAACTTTTCAACAACAAACCATTTCCCGACCTAAAACAAGTTATGGGACTTTCTACGGGAATTATAGACCATGACGCCATAGATTGTTATAAAGTGTTTTGAAGTCCGAGTAAAAATAAGAAATAAACCACATGGCTCCAACCTTAGATCATATATACTTAAGGCTCCAACCGTAAAGGCATAAAGTCGGCCTGTGTGGCGCAGTTCAGTTGAAGCTGGACTGTGGTGCTAGGGTCCC